CCCCCAACGATTCAGTTTTTTTTTCGTTCCACATCTTTTCTCATTAAAGATTTTTTTAAAGTAATAATATGTGGTTTTAATACCACTTGACAAAAACTATATTATGAATACATAAATATTGAAAAGAACTGGAACGTCTGTAAATGACGTAACACAGTGGTGTGCGAAGTGAATAGTGACGCCATTTATGAAGATTACAATAACGTGTTTTGTATGATTTTGGTTCTGTTGTAGAGTTAGGCCTCTGAAGATATAAATAGAAATGCATACAATAAAGCAATAAGGAGAGGTCAGCGCGACACTGCTAAAATTTTTAATAAATCTAAAGAATACAAAGCTTTCTCGTGAGGGGTCTTTCATAAAAAACATCAAGTCTGTTAAAGGTATTTTACTCCCTATTCTAGAATGCGTAGAAAGAGGTTTATGGGGACGGGGGGGGGGAATTAAATTTAACTATTATTAAAACTGCCCCCATCTCCTCTGAACTTTCATCCCCCTCCTGCCATTGAAGTTTTACCCCCCCCCCCCCCCACCCCGAACAAAATATCTGAAACAAACATATAGACAACGCTTTATCGCGAAGTCAAAATCTAAAAACAAATCAAGGTAAAGGTGGATAACTCAGTTTAAAATATCAAAAAATTATTTTACGGTGGTGGAACCTTTTCTCAAGTAATTTAAACTAACGTTTTAAAATGGCTCAACATGTTATTTTATGTAAATACCAAAGGGAAGAAGCTCTATTTATTGCATAGTAAAAATTCTGTACTTTTTATATTTTTCTATTCAAAGCCTAAGACATTTGCATTGTGTTGTGCTTTATGGGGACGTCAAATCTGCCCGATGACAAAAAACGAGGTTGTAGCTCCTGCCGTAGTTTAGAAGAAGAATTTGTTAGTTGTTGATGGTTTGGTTATCCTCTGATATGATGAGTACATGCATTGCACGCTGAAAAAAGGTCTGGGCATTTTTCATCAGGCGGTTCAAGAGCTTCTATTGTTAAATCTGCAAAGGTTTGGAGTAATTGTTTTATTAAACAAGTCGTGAATGAGGGTGCCCCCAACTGATGATGTTGGTAATATTCAGTGCGGAACTACTATACCGCCAGACCCATAATGCGGGGAATCCCAGGGTGTTTAGGGGATCCAAAATCCGACAAAACAATTTTTGGGTCGGATTTTTTGCACTTTGATAGACTAGACGTTTCATAGAAAACAAACACATCTACTAAAGCAAAGATTGTTCTACAGTAACAAACACACTGTTGCACAGAAACAAAAACGACATGCGATGTAGTGTTAAAGATAGGCAAACCTTCAAACCACTTTGATGACTAGACTTATTGTTCCTCTTTAAATAGTCAAATATGGGTGTCCTTAAAGCTTATTTAAACAGTGTTGTACTAAGCAAACTATTTGTAAAAAAAAAAAAAAAGCATACTAAAGAATGACATAGCTATACAAAGGAATTATTCAAATTAATAATATAAATGCAAAAATAAAACATAAGAATAAAACGAACACGGAAAACAATTACATACATCATTATCAAACTTCCGTGTTTCATTTTCTTTTGACCGACTTTTCAAAAAATGAGGTAACATTTTTCACAATTTCTTCGAGCATAAATGTGATAAAGACATACTTAAAACTAGATAATTTCAGGACAGAAATGAGTTGGAGCTTATTTCTGTGTGTTTTGTTGTCCAACGATGCATATTCTTTTCAATGAAATTAGGAAATGGTTAAATTTAAAATGTAAAAATTTAGTGAGGAAGTCTATTATATATATATATATATATATATATATATATATATATATATATATATATATATATATATATATATATATATATATATAAGCGAACTTTTTTTGTGTCTGGTGTTTTTTTTTCTGGCTCCGCCACTTGTTATATTTGCTTTTTCCATAGATATTACATTCTTATAAAGATTGAATGGACTGTGTTTATCTTATGTGACTGGCTGATTTTTCGACCTTACGTCTGAGCTATAGAATTTATAGGATTCGATTACTAGATGGTCATCTACTATGTGCTTGCGTAACTTTTGAATGCTTTCGAACACTTTGGCAAAATTTCTGCAACTTTGTTGGATTTACGTTGAGATTGGTTTAGAGGGTGTGGTGGTTGCTGTTTTTATTTTTCCGTTGTTGTTGATTATAGCCGCTTTTGGTTGCCTTTTTTTCCATGATAGAACTGTCCACTATTTTTCTTTTGATTTGTGCCGTTTCTGTTTCCATTGCTGTCTGTGGTAGTGAGGTGTCTAGCTATGATGTATTTTCTTTGTTGCTGTCTTTGTAGCGTCTTCGAATGCTCAATGTGGTGATGTTGAGGTTGTCCATTGCGGTGGTTTGGTTGGCTGCATTGATTGTAGATGAACAATGTTGGCAGGCTTGTTTTCGGCCTGGTAAAGCTATAAGAAGGGTGGTGGCTTTGTCTTTGTAGTTCAACGTGATGTAGTGTGGGATGGTTTTTCGCTTGTCTGTGTAAGCCAGGGGTCTCCAAACTATGTCCTCTCATCCGGCCCGCGGAGATCTTTTTGACCACGGAAAAAACGTTTGTTGCTGATGGCTGAGGAACCTTGTCCAGAAAAATCAAAGAAGAAACTGGCCCCCGAATTGAAATTTGATAGTTAATGCGGCCCTCGGACTGAAAAGTTTGGAGACCCCTGGTGTAAGCGGTAAAACTTCTATTGTTGGTGCGAGAGATAATGGTGATGAATGGTTCTTTCAGAGCTAGTATGAGGGTTTCAATGCTTTGTAGGGGGCACCCATATCAGGGTTCCATCTATTCGTGTGTTGTTGAGTTAGTGAATTTCAGCGTGTATGGGCCGTGGTGTTGTGAACTTTGATGACGTTAAAACCATCTGAGCTAAAGTACCAGGTGCAGTGGCGGAACTAGAAAAAAAGGGCCACCCCGCAAAGAAATTTTTTGGGCCCCATATATATATATATATATATATATATATATATATATATATATATATATATATATATATATATATATATATATATATATATATATATATATATATATATATATATATATATATATATATATAGATATATAGATATATATATATATATATAGATATATATATATATATATATATATATATATATATATATATATATATATATATATATATATATATATATATATATATATATATATATATAGACGAAACTATGATACATAGAATACTCATTTCGGGCTTGTTCGAGTTTAAAAAAAAAAAAATTAAAAATGCTTAGTTTTTATTAAAAAGTAAAAACAAGTTACACCACTTCATTTGTGTGACTGCTATTAGATCTAGTCTGTTTTTAATTTTTTTTAATTTTTTTTTTTTGCCTCAGACATGTAATTTTCAGCGTCAGTTGTGTGTGTTCGCTTTAGTATTACAGTTTTCATCGCCGGCTTTTGAGGACTGGTACAGATTTAGAATAGTAATATTTCTTTCTTACTTGTAGCCTACTTTCATTCATTTAAGATGGTTTACTTTTACATAGATCTAATACAACGTCTAAATATAAAAAAAAATAAAAAATAAAAAAAAACCCAACCTGAAAATGCAAATGTGTAATTAAACGATGATTCAAGGGATTTTTTTCCCTCAGCGTGGTGGGTGAGGGGGGTTTGAAAATCTTCGTTTTAATATGTTTGCAATTATACCTCCCATGGATACGTCAGTCGAAATAATATGAAGCATGAAAGCTGTGTATGTGTAATGGTTTCTTGCCCTATGTTTATTTTTATGTTTTTTTGTATTTATATTATTAGTTTTAAATACATTTCTGTTTTATGCTTTCTCATTCTTAATTATGTATTTTTTTTAAAATAATAATTAAGAGAAGTAATTGCTTTTTAATTTGTTTAATGCAAATCTATTAAAAGATGCTTAAGAGCACACATATTTGACTATTTAAAAAAAGGGAAATAAGTCATGGAAGTGGTTTGAACGTTTGCGTATCTTTCACGCGATGGATTTATTTTCAAAAGAATTTCGCCGACAACAGCATGTTTGATTGTAGGAGAAAGAGGACTCGAGATGGTGTCTATAGAATAAAGATAATCCAATCGCAGCTGCAGTATTCTTTTTACAAAACATCCATCAAGTCAAAAATGCAAGAAGATTATTTTTTTTTTAACTGTAAACAAATTGATTATGGTCGGCTGCGGGCCCCTAAACGTCCCGGGCCCCCCCGCAATGCGGGGTCTGGCGGCACTGTAGTTCCGCCCCTGACCAGGTGTACTGTACCATAGTTCAGAAGTAGTGTGGGCTTGTAGTTGATGAGTTGCTGGTGCCCTTTGCTGTCTTCAAATATAAGAGCTAATTTTCATATATATATATATATATATATATATATATATATATATATATATATATATATATATATATATATATACATATTTTATTTTTTTAAATAAAAAATAGCACGTAAAGAGAAATCTGTTAATAATATGCACACAATAAAGTTGGGTGAAAATATACAACTTAATATCGACTTGAACTAGCTAATATGTGGTCAAACATTCTCCATTAATGTTGTTCAAGTTAACTTACATGAAACTACAATCAGCTGTAATAAACACAAAAATCTCGAACCTTTACAGGTAAGTTTTTCTCAAAAAGCCAGTTCAGAGCCTGGCCGTGACGGCTAATATTTGTCACGAAGACCGATGACATTATTATCCTTTCACTTTATTAAAAATAAAAATAGACATATCTTAGCTAGTATTTTTGAATATATTAATAATACTAAAGTTAACTGTAGGTAGGCGCAACACGTAAGCTCGCGATTTCTAGACATTTAAAAGTTGACTATCAAAAGGGGTTTTCCAATATTATAAATGATAAACACAAAGAAGAAAAATAAGATTTGCACACATAGGGCCTAGGCCTAATCCCCGCATTTCATTTCTATTTTTAATCTGGCCTATCAACGACCTAGATCTATATTTTTGTACTGAAACCTAACTTCCGGGATTGCTAAACATACTGATTATAAAAGCCCGACCATTCGTGTTGAGTGTTTATTGTTAGGTCCGGGAAACCTTTGTAGTACTCGAGTGAGGAAGGGCATTTAATGTATGTACGTAAAACTAGGTCTGTGCCATAAGTATAACCATAAACTAACAGGATGAGAAAACAGATCTGTGTATATAAATAAAACACGAGAGCCCAACTAAAAATATCTTATTACGTATTTCAAGCATTTGTAACTTATTTATTAAATATTTAATCGAGTCAAGTTCTCGATCCGGATCTTGAGTCTAACTCAAAGCGAGTTATTAATAATAGTTTAGTAGATTTCTAAGTAATAAATATTAAATAACCTAGATCTAGATCTAGTAAGTAGTTGAGTCCTCTTCTACATTTGTGAATCATTTCATTCAGTCTTGCAGTAGATCTAGATCTAGATCAGACTACATCTAGAGATCTAGATCTAGCTAGAGTCAGCTAGAGTGAGTAGACTAAAAGAGAAGTCTAGATCTTAATAGTAGTTCAAAGTAGTTAGTGAGAATATATATAGATCTAAGTCTTAAAGTTAGTTAGTGTTAAGTCACAGTTAAGTCAGTGTGCTAATACTATGAATTATTATTATAGTTAGGCCTATAATAATAATATTATAATAACTAGGATATAGGCATAGGCCTAATAGAAATATACTTAATATAGTATAGGCTAGCTGCTAGCCTATTAAAAAATATCATTAGTCATAAGTGATTGATTATTAATTTATTTAACATATATTCAATTCTTACTGTTTAGTACACAGATTTATGATGTTTGAACTATAATTTAATTGTTTTGCATTTATTTTCACAGTAACAGACAAGTATTAATCTAGTATGGGAGCAAAGAAGAAAATGAGTTCTGCTGAGAAAAATGATGGAACTAAGGAGGATGCTAAAATTCACGCTCAAGAAAATTCATTGCTGCTGACAGCTTCAACCTCATCGCCATCATTATTAAATGGCTGTAGTGATACCACTACACATGTTGGTGCCAGTATTGGAGAGCATATCAGTGCACACCATTATCATGCACCTCCTGAAGTTTCAGCCATAGCACATGTTTTAAATGTTCCATCCGCAACTTTGGAAATGCCACCAGATTCAGTTTTTCTTACTTCCTCAACGCACCACAGACAACTTCACAGATCTCAAGAAAGGCCTTTCAGTGCTCCACCTGACAGCTTAGAAAAAATATCTGGAACACTGCTGAGACTTGTAGGCGATCATTACCTGTGTTCATCATGTGGTCGTCAGCTCCGCACACTTGGGGATCAATTGACTTTTGAAACCAATCTACGACATGCTTTAAGTGCTAGTGAATTAAATGCTTACCACAATGAAAACTAAATACCACTATGTCGAAGCTATTGTGTGATCTAAATACAAGTCAGTTAGATAGTATATACAAGCAGTGTATGTTTTAAGTGGTAGTGAATTGAACATAGCCACACTTGTTTATATGTGGGTCGTGTATTTTGAGTTTCTAGCTTATTAGTTGATGGTTTTTTTTACAACTTACATTACTTAAAAAAGTTTTGCATTTTGATTATATTTTTTAAAATTAAATTTTTATTTTATTTTATTGTAATAAAACCTAAATTAATGAAAATAGAGTACAATTATTGTAAAACTACTATTGTTTGTAGCAAAATACCATTTAATTTATTAGCCTAGAATCGCAGTGCAATGTTTGTATAGTAAACAGTTTTTGTCACAACAGTATGGTTCTCTGATGATAAATTTCATTTCATTCCTTTAACCAACACTTGTTAGATGATATATATATAAATATATAGTGACTTAAGTGACATTGCCAGAGAGATGTTTACAAAAGTGCCTATTTTATCTAAGTTCTTCCGGTGATTATATTCTACATTTTAGCAAACACATTTTTTTCACAGCATTCCATTTTATTACTCTCTTAAGAGCTGATGAAGTAAAAATGATGAGTGTTTGTATGATTTGTAATTATTTTATATTCAAAAAATTTTAAAGTTGCAATATGAATATCTAACTTTGTTTATTATTGTAGAATCTTGCAGTGACAGCATTTTATCTTTTTAAATTGTGAGTAAAAAACTACACACGTCTTGATCACTTAAGACTTTTTAAGCTTATACTTATATACTATTTTTGTGTGCAAGTTTAACTAAATTTAGTGATGGAAAGTCATTAGAAACTTAGGCAAGCTGATTAATTATTTGCCAAACCATTTGTACGGAAATGAGCAGTAATTTTGTGCAATTAATCTGTACATTCTTTAATTTGCTTGAAGAAAATACTGCTTATAAAGTTTGCTTTATTTAAAAAATACTTAAGAATTGTTTGTTTTAGGTTAAAGTTTGGTTATAATTTTTAAGCAATCCACATTTTTGCCAATGAAAAAAGCTAAATAACAATACGCATAACTTTTATTTTTACTAATATGTGAAAATTACAATTAATATTAACATATCTTTAACTTCAAATTAGCTAAAATGTTTAGACTTCTTTTACAGTCCTGAATCAAAACCCAAAAATTACTTTTTATGTGTGAAAATATCAAAATTGTAAATTACTTGTGGTTGACAAAAATTCTTTTTCTACCAACTCTTACATTTTAATTCATAATTGTTTTAACTGGTCATGATCACATATCAACTTTCTAATTTAGAATTGTATTTTCTTAGTCATCTAAGACAATATTATCAAGCAGTTTGTGTTCCGTTAATTTTCTTTTCACAATATTTATTTCAGTTTTATTAGAGAAGCTCCCATTCAATTATGTGTTCATTTATTATAATTTAATTTTTATCCTGCTTATCAACACTTTTTGTGGATCAGCTTTTCAAATGATTAATTATGCACAGGGTAGTGATCAAAGTGGTCATACTTCATTTTATATTTACTGTATGTTTTTTTGTATGTGAGACAGTTTAAAATATAACTTGCTTTAATATTTAATTAGGGCACATGAGTTTGAGTTTGCCTGCCTTGATAAATTATGAGGCCAGTACAATGACTGTAAGTCTAGTATTTAGTCCTTTCTTAGCTGGTTGGACTCAGGGATATCTTGGTGATTAGAAAGGCAAACAAGATCACAATCATAGCTAGTTCTGCTCAACCACACCTGCCACTTAAGAGCATTTTTTCCAAATTTAAGACGTCCTTTTTTTAAAAAAAAATCCTTTATTTGATGTTAACCTTTTCCCCCTCCCCCACAACCATTTGTAGCCTAAAAATTTATACAATGTGAAATTTTTATGACTGAATAGCCACTATGTATTTTGAAGTAATATAACATGCAATTCACTGTTTTTGGATGTCAGTACTCAATTTAAACACAGTGACACTAGAAATGTTAACTTATTTTTAGTGCCTTAAATTTTTGTGTACATTTATTAGATACATTATAATTAATAAGAATTAATTACTAATTTTTTGTTTAGTTTAATTAAAGTTAGTTTTTTATAGTTAACTTCTCTGTTCTATACATGTTGGCAATGTGTGCCTTGCTATAAGCTCATTCAAGATGGCTACTTTTGAAACAACGAATAATGCTGCATGGTATGGATCTTATTTCTTAACACTTCACAAGCCCTATAACTAAGTTGTAGATGTTTCAGTTGTACATCTAATTTTATTATTAACAGTTTGTATCAAAACTATGCAGTTGTTTTGAAGTTATTTTTATAAAAAAGAATTACAATTATACAATATCTTATGGACTGAAGGCTAGTTACTTCACCATTACAAATAATTCAAAATGCATCAATATTAATTTATAGCGCATAATTATAGAATGCTCTTTCATAAATCTTACTGAATTTTTAAAAATTAGGTTTCTGCCGGACCTCATAAAATTATATTATTTTTGTAAGATTTGTATTGTATACAAATTAGAAAGTCAAAACTTTAAGATAAAATTTAAATTTATTTACAAAATATATAAAAAATTAAACATTGATATTATCTATTGATTTGTGTTTTGATATCAGCTAGTACTTGATGAGAAATTTGTAAGCAAGGGCTGAATGGTCTGTGTGACATCAAAAGCATTTTCAGATCGTAACATATTTGCAGCATGAGTAAGCTGTAAGGCAGCATTTGGATGGGCTGTCCCTGGGAGCAATGTGCACTCTCTTTCCAACATGGCAGCCATAGCCTCCAGCAATGCATGAAAACCAAATGAAAGTGCTGCTCTTCTTGTGCGATTTAGCTCCTAATAAATGAAATTTTGTTGAGTAAGAAAACATCTAAGCTTTATTTTGAGAAATAAGTAAAGCATAATAAATGTTGTAGAATATAATAATGTTTACATTTTCAGAACTAAGTAATTGTGAAGTTACCTTATAAAACTGCTGTAATTTGTCAGGTAATTTTCTGGCATGTCGTAAAACTTTCTGAATATCCGACTAAAAGAAATTTTTTCAATAGTCAGTAATAAAAAATGAATGTTCTAATATTTCAATGAACAATATCTATATATTAAAAAAAACAAACAATGTGTATAACAATTATTGCACCTGCAAACCAGAAGGCTTTATCCACACCACACAACTCTGAGCATAGCTGCGTTTATCAGTAGGTCGTACAGGAAAAGGTGATTTCTTCTCTTCATCATTGAACACCATATCAGGGAAATATTCTTTACAGGAGGTTAGATTGTCAAATGGTCCTAGCCATGGAACTGAATCTTGTCCTGAATGATATAGTTGTTTAACTTCAATCAAGTGTTAATGAGAATTTCTGAAATTTGTATTACATTAAAATCTTTGTGGATGTATCCATCTTACTCTAATAAAATTGCACTTATACATTTCTTGATGTACACAAAAATAAGGCTTTATTATTGTCACCTGGTTCAAATAATGCCAACATCAAATTTGATTTCTTTTTACTGTCAGCCCAGGAGTAAATCATACCATACCAGTCATCACTTGATAGAGAAATATATAGCAATGTTATTAATTCAAAGTTCAGTTCTGTAGATTCTAAACAAAAATTGTTACAGCATATTTTCCTATATAAAACTACATTCTATCCATTTACCAAGATTAAGTACTTGAAATGTTCCAGCTTAATTGATGAAATGGACAAATTCAAGAATGACAACAAAAACATAAAAATATTACCAAACTCTAGTCACTGCCACCATACTCTCTACCCTCAAACTTCCATGCAATAAAACTGTAAAGGATGGAATTTTCCCATCATCTTGACTGTCATCATCATCTTCTGTCTTGCCAGATTTGCCTTCTTTATCTTTTGCTATAACATGAATAAATGAAAACAATTATCTAAAACACAATCACACATTTGGAAGATTATAAAAAAAAGTTATGAAAAAAATACCACTCCAAAGTCCACAGAGATCGACAAAAAGGTGAACTATAAAAATGTATTTATTGTTCAGTAAACTTAAACTCACTGTCTCCTTTTTCCTTAGTAGATCTAGGCAATACGAGATGTCTAGCTACAGTAGGTGGGCTACCAATGTCCTTAATTTCAATGAAACCAATGATTTCAAGTTTATCTGAAACTGTAAAAGTCATTTTCCCATCATCCAGTTGCCTGTGAAAAAAAATTAGTGTGTCATATTAATTATATTTGAAATAAAAGCTTTACAATTGTTTCATTTTTAAATGATATATAGTAATGGCAAATATGGCTTAAAGTATGTTCATTTACCTGTCAAAAGGCTCTGGCTTTGGAAATAAATTAATTGCGCAGTTGAAATGTCCACATGTTAGCGTCCCACAAAATGGATTATAATACTTCTCTGCCAACCGGTTAAAAACATCTTCCACAGACCTAAACATAAAAAATAATAATACTTAAGCTTTCAATAGACCTAAAAATAAATAATAATACCTAAGTCTTAATGTAACATAAAAACCTGCACTATAAATACTTTAGTATTATAAAACATTTTATGAACAAACAAAAAGTATTCACTGTTAAAATAGTTATTTCTATGAATAAAGAAGAAAATTACTTGAAAGATATAGGTCCATCAATAGTAAAAAGCTCTCCACCCTGCTGACCAATATCAATGAGCTTTTGATAGTAAGGAAGAGCACTGCGTACATCTGGTTCATTTGGATTGCCTATACAGACAATATGTAGCTTGCAGGGAAATGAAAAAGGTAAAGGAAATTTTTCTTCAACCGACTGCCTCAAATTAATAGTTTCCAGTGATCGTTTAAGGGATCCAGTACCAACACCAATGCTGCCATCAGTAATTAGTAAAACCTGTCCAAAAAAGTAGTAAAATAATTAACAGATAGACAAGAATAGATGAGTGAATTAAGAAAGAGAAAATGCTACTATCATTACCTGACAAGGTGTATGGTTCCATTCATCAGAAATAACATTTCTTATGCCATTTAGTGCGGTTTCTATGCAAGTTTTGCTAAATGCTTCTACTCTGTTTAGTGCAGTTCTTACTGAATTGTAATCTCTTGTGAAAGTAGATAATTGCTCATACAAATAAGAAAAGGCTACCTATAAAGAAGAGTAAAACCATAGATAAATTATAAACTATGGAAAATTAAGTTAAATCTGATAAAAACAATTTGTGTAAAAAAATATTTTAAAATGTTCTTAAAAAATAAAATAAGCATAGTTCTGTTTTATGTAAAATATACAAGTAGTAGAATAAAGGCCTATCTAGTTTGATCTTTTAATTATAACACTTAAACTTGATTATCAACATTGAAATGAAGTTAAATATATACCTGACTCAAAAGAGTGTCCCTAAACAAGATTGCCAAAATATAGTTGTACCACAACTGAAGTTTTTAAGAATGTGCAAGGGTACTAAATTTAAATATGAAATATCAAAAATGTAATTTTGAAAAGTCATTTTGAAACTTACAAGAGATACAAATTCTAGCTTGTAGTTGGCAGTCAAATAATCCAAAAAAATATTTATCCCATGAATAGCAAGGTGACGACGTTGATATTCCTCCGATGTATCTGTCAATACAACAGGTCTGGACATAGAGAGAGAAACATCTAGAGCTATTACAGTAGGCATTCTTTACCTACTTATCAGGATCTAAGATGTCAATGAAGTTATTTTCAATCTTTGTTGACTTTACTTTGCTTGAATTGATGAGAAATATTTGATGATACCTGAAAAGTAAAAATTTATTTAATCAATCAATTAAGCCTCCTAGTTTTACTTGATGATTTAAAAAAATATTTTTTACTTAACAAAATCATTGAAATATAAGGCATGTTATTATTATTATTAAAATAGTAACACTGTTAAGTCAAACCTCAACAGTTATAACCCTTCATATTGTAACTAATTAAGAAATCAGAGTAAATTATTTAGGACTAAATCCCTAATCTAATAAAAACTAGCAATAAATACTATTGGTAGCCACTGACTTAAATCTAAAGACAGTCTTCTTAAACAAGCTGTCATATCACTTTTAAAAGACAAGCTTTGAAATGCATTATTTAAGCAGGACCACATTTTCTGGTAAATATTTAGTTCTATGACTTTTGGAAAGAGTTCATTAATACATCATGCTTTTCAATTTCCGAGATACATTGGCGCTGTTTCATAAATTTTCATACATTCTTATAAATTTGGCCATTTAGTCAAATGCTAACTATCAACTATAAGAATCAAAGAACCAACTTATTTAGGTCCATATCTTTTAGGTCTATAAATTTTAATAAAAGAATAACACTCCATTTTACATTAACTGATACAGAAAAGAACTTAATAATAATTTATAAATAATAACTGCAACAGACTACAACAGTCCAGCCCAGTTTTGAAAAAATGGTACTCATATTCATTAACACAAACACACCAGTGAGATAGCAGAACTGGGTTTTGTTCAGGAAATTATAGTCTAAAATGTGGCCAAAATCTTAATTTTGATTTTTTTTTTTACGATTGCATACAATATAGATCTAGTATTTACAATTTATACTATACTTCTCCTTCTACTCTGATACTGTAAATTTAAGTAGGCCTATACTTATTACATGAATCTAGACGAGACAAGGTTTATTTTGGCTAAGGCACGACAAACAACACTGTGCGCGCATGGTATGTGGCCTGACTGACTGAAAGGAGATTGTTTATATTATTGTTTTGAGATTATATTTAACTCAATGCAACAAGCCCGGCAGTTGGTTGAGGTCAGGCTGGGGGACGGGGAGGTTCTGACCGGGATATCTTTATTATCATATTATGGAATCTTCTTTAAAAAAGGAGTGTTAGGTTACTGGTAGTTAACTAAATACACACATGGCTGGCTAATGTCAATGCTAACCCTGTCCCTAAGTGCTAAGGCCTAAAATAGTAAAATAACTTAACTAACCCCAACCCTGGTCCTACCTTTTTAATTTTTAAAAATTAGTCGAGATTACAATACTACTACAGCCCAACACACATATTTTATGGAAGTCTATTATCGGACATCAGTATCTAAAATTAAAATCATCCTCGAAATAGGACTAATTTCAAACTAATTTGGAAATAATTTCAATTTTCTGTTGTTTTTTTTTTTTTGTTTTTTTTTTAGTGAAAGTGAGAAGTTGATTTGATGAATTTGTCAGACAGTGGTTGGAAAGCCCTCGTAGTCGTAGCTAAATAATACATTAATAGTAAAAGTTTAAATTAATCTCATGAATAGTTTTTCATACTTACTTTTAAATATTGTTATTAGATTCTAGACTATAGATCTAGATCTAGTTGTAGTAGGTCTATATTAATTTGTTCAAGATTGAACGGGCGCAGCCATCTTGGATTTGTTTTCTAAACTTTAATCACTGAAAATGATAACTGCTTTGCCAGTTAGGCTAATTTTTAATGTTAAACTTGGCTTTTTATGATTTTACAGATCTAGAGTTAGTTCTAGATCTCTAGTATTTTTGCTTTTTTTTTTTGTAATATAAATAGTAGCAATTTCAATGGCAATTTATTTCAACTTTAAATAATATATTCAAACTATTTATACCTAATAAATAATTCTATTAAGCCTAATATTAATATTATTTTGATTTAATTCGAAATGAACGGTTGCACGAAATAATCTATCTATAGAATCTAAATTTAGATTAGTATCTCTATAGCTAGATATAAATAACACTAAATATCAATGTAATATATGATGCATGATAGATCTATATGGTATTGAGCTGTTGTTTTTATAGGTGAAGTTGGCTGCCTAATTTTTCCAAATTTTTTATTGCTTCCATTATTTAACACTCAGATTGAAATCAACAAAAAGTTGTGGGGTTTTATTTAATTAATGAGACATCAAAATTACATAAATCATTTGACATCACAAATTTGTCAGATTCATGTTGTTGCTGCCATAAACTACAAACTCATTTTTCCAAACCTAAAAAAACTGAAATACTTTTAGCAATATGATAAAGTCCTAAATGGTTATGGTGGAGTGATTTGAGTAAAATCCATAAGACCAGTTTGATTAATTTTATTCCATCAACTTTCAACTTCAAACACATCTAAACAATGCATCAGATAGGTAAAGCAAAATTTAATTCTAAAACAAAAACTATGGAAACAATTTTATATTTTTAATTTCAAGAAATCACATTTTTATTTGGTTTTAATGCAGACAACATAGCTTTTTAAGTAAAAAATATTACATGTGCTTACACAATACTTTTGTGAAAATTGAAACAAAAGTGCAGATACAAGTACTTTCAATGTAATTTTTTTTTACAAGATATCACATATCACAAGATATCAAGATATTAAATCCACAACCTTAAAAATGATAAACCTACATCTCTAAGTAATTTTTATTCATGAAACAACAGTGAAACTTTTAGTCCACTAGTCTACTTTTATTATAATTTAAAAAAAAAAAAAAATTAGAAATATCATTACTTTCTGATGAAAAATTGTTTTCCAAATTTCAGAACAGTTACCATCAACAGTGGAAAAACACCAGAAGCCACAACATTATCTAAAAGAAACAGTGTTGTAAGCAGAAACGTTTGCTAAAACAAGTGAATTCAAGTATTTAAATAACAGAACAGGGTAAATGTGAGCATTTAAATTTTTATTCACTTTTTTATTGTATAGCTACATTCAGTTAAATAAAATAATTATTTGCTCATCATTAAGAGTTGCAAAATTTGTCTACATAATTATTCATCTGTTTCAGATGCAAACTATTTAAATTCTATAATGTATAATAGAACATTTTTTTTACAAAGATAAGTATTTTAAAACATAAAGTCAAATTGTAAAAACAAATATGAAATGTTACTGGGACATTAAGTCATCCTAATCTCCATTTACATCAGCCAATTGGGTATACAAACTAAAATAGTTAACCGTAAAACACATTTTAAAAACATTTTACAATTAACTTTAAAATGAATGCCTTATTTCATCTATTTTAATTTTAAACAACATAATTTGACTTCCATTAATAAAAGGAAAAGCACTAAGTGACTACATTTTGTTCCAAAATGAGCAAATGTTTTTTCAAAATGACAATTTTTATAACTTTCAAATTGAAAGTCACTAACACAGAACAGGAAAAAAAATTTAATTTAATTATAAACAAATCACTATCATCTGTTAATTTCAGGATTTTAACAATCAATAAAATTTCTAAAAATCAAACTAGTTGCCATTAAGTAAATTAAAAAAAATATATTCTCTAAATTGTCTTTGCAAACAATAAATATATTTCATAAAAAATAGAAAACCACATGAAAGACTTACAAAAAGTCAAATCACTGGACAGTATCATACATCAACAATTAAAATAAAATTTGAATCTGTGTAATCTTAGGCAGCTGGACATTACCCCCTATCCTTATCACCCTGTTCAGTAACTGGAAAACGACATTACTGACTGTCAATTATAAGTATGCCATAAACATACTATTAACCCTTATGCAATGTTAGAGCTAAATAATATTCCAGAGGGAATAACCTTATTCTTCAATTTGCCAAAAGTACCAAGTACAAAATATGATTTATTTCATGCTTGGACTATTTCAGGCATTCTATTAGATACCAGACTTCTCACTTTGCTTGAAATGTGTAAAATAAGTCTCATAGTCATTATCAGGTGGGTGGGGGTGGGGGTGGGGTGAAAGAAGAATTTTGGACAAGGGGGTAATATCCCTAACCTTAAAATTGTGATCAACCTTTTAATGAGATCAAGACATACTTTTACATAAAAAAATTAATTTCTGTGTTGATTAAACTTTCCCCCTGTGTAATAATGTGGACTTTGTTGTGTCTGTGAACTGGAACTTGTGGAGTTCCTTTGAAGAATCATGACAGGTGACAGGCCTGGATGATGTCCCATTCCAAAAGCTGATGACCCAAGCATTCCACCTTGAGCTAACAACATAGGATTCAGCCCTGTTTGTACATAAGCTCCCTGCTGCTGCTGGTAACCCCCTGTAAAATATTCCTTTGAGGTGGAAGCCAGATAGCCTTGCTGGTTTAACATCTGTGAGGGAACTGAATTCTGATTTCCTGATGAGAAAACTGCACTGTCCTGGTTATGGGCTGGGCTACTGGCACTACTGTTAGAGCTATGATTAGTGTTGGTGGATAAAGCAGGGCTAGGGCTTGACTGAGAGATCTCACCTCTGCCATTATCACTTGGGTCTTCACTTGCCCCAGAGCTTTCAGATCTTCCGCTGGATGGTTTGTCTTTTTTGTTGTATTGCTGCTGTTTCTGTTGTGTGTTTTTCTGACTTTGCTGCATAGTTGATTTCTTTTTAGCACCAGAATGTGACCTTTTTGGCTGTACTAAATCTAGCAGTTTAATTAACTCTGCTCCCACTTTAGGCTCAATCTCCTACAAATAAAGATAAAGTATCTATGTTTTATTTTTATAATAAAATTATAAGTTTAAATTTGTAAATAAATAAAAAGTGTGTTGTAAAAACAATGACTCACTTTTAATATTTACCTTGAAAACATTAAAAAACCAAAGCATTAAATAACAGTAACAACACTTACTTGTCCATCTCTTCCTGCGTGCACTCGTCTGCCTTCATTCCATGGATTATTCAAAGTGTTTGTGTTACTAAATGGGAGTGTAACCCTATACGGGATACAAAAAGTGATACAACTAATATTTAGTATCTTTTTTGTTGTTTCTGATAAAAATAAAAATATACAAACATTTAATTAGTGGTAAAATCAGTATTATTTATTTGACAATTTGGCAATAATTTTAAAATAAGGTTATTTAAAGAACTTTGTATCCATAAAAAAACAAAGCTTACTTTAAATTTTATGTCATTTTATGGTATATACACACAAAATAATAAAAATATAAATCAAAGCAAACAATGGTTACCTCTTAACCCATTCAACACTGAAGATACCAGTTAGGCCAGATGAAGGGAAATCTGGTGACTTATTTTTACTGATAGGTGAGGTCATTTTTGCATAGCCCTGAAAGTTGGCATTTCCTGGTATACAGAAGATGAGATACACAGGCTTGCCACCCTGGAAAATTTTTTTGAACAGTTACTGGCAGTTCCACTGGTTGTCTCATTAAAGATCTAACTAGTACAAGAAATAAATATTAAAAAAATATTCCTACTCTAATTTTTAATCTTAATTAATGTATCATTTACACTGTATGCTCTGTTAAGTTTAGCCTCGTTAGCAGCTGTGGTGGCCCAGATGGATTTGTTCTCTGAGACATCAACAATTTTTTGGTTGTTGCATCTCATTAAAAAGTATCTCCCCTCTTCATGGGTGCCTGAAGCAGCTCCTGATGTAACAGCTGACAGTGCTGGTGAACCTGACTGAGGTGAATCTAGTGGGGTAGAGCTCCCACTTTCAGCTCTGCCGCCAGCTCCACTCATCTGTGCTGTTTCTATCAATATAAAAAACAGTGTAGAAATTAGGGTTAGGATGTTTTGTGTTAATAAAAGAAGTGGACAAGCTCAAAGACACTATTACTGTTGTACTACAGTGTTGTAACATATTGTAAGTCATTACAGAACTAAAGGAGAGTTTTTTTTACCCATCTCAAATAAAAAACAACAACCTTTAAGCTGACATAAGACAAATAATTGGAAGAATACGCAGAAACAGGAAACAAGATAAAAATTATGAAGAAACAAGTAATTAAAAAAAGTCTAGTGACAATTTTAGCGCAATTTCCTTGTGTTATCTAAAAATAGCTCTGTTGTAGCGTAAATCAAGAGCAGGGTTAGTAAAACCATTGGTTAGTTATTAAAACGTTTTTTATTAATTTTTTTTTCAGTATTTTACATGTTTTATTTACAATAGAGTAACATGACTAAAAACCATTGCGTGCCCAGCTACCGAAAGTGACATCGCAGCCATTGAACGTGACGTCGCAGCTATTGAACGTGATGACGCGTGTGGTGTGGTTGCATAAAATGCCTACTAATTCGGTCCAAATTTTAATTAATTCAAAAAATTTTTTGTGACCGAACGAAAGGATATTTTTGAAAACTTTCTTCTGCAATATTGTTCTAAATTATGGCAGGAATCGATTGGTACATGTTTCAAGTCGCTAAGTGGTCTGGTTGCCGAGATATGGGCCAAAAACTGCATTTTTTCGAGGTTTTTTGGCTTTTCCGGGAAATCCATGAAAGAGACCCGGAATTTTTATGGCCTATGTTCATCCTCGTAACTTGCTTAAGGTAATTGCTTTTGGAACTAGTCCTCGACATTGCTTAGTTGAGGAGGAGATACGACTTAAAGCTGCGGACACACATCCATCCATTCATCCATTCCCAGAAAAGACGAGTTAATAAACACAATTCTCCAGAATGGAAATGGCGCTAAAAATGGAAGTGATAGGGATTAAAAATTAATTGTTAAATCACCTAAAATTCCATAAAAAAATACTTAAGTAAGTTCATTAACAGGAAAAAGAGATTTACTGTTAAAGCTTTGGTAGCCACGCTGCTGGTTGCTGTAGCCCCCACGTCCACCTGAGTTATTTCTATACATTTGTTGCTGCTGTGGTTGATACTGCTGCTGTTGATGGTGGTGGTGTTGCTGGTAACCACTACCACCACCATTTCCACCACCACCACTACCTGGCCTACCATAATAGTCTTCAAATCCTCCTCCCATCAAAGGCTCTGTCAAGATAATTATTCAATAGTAAAAAACAACAACAAATTAGCTTACTTTCTTAACTTTCAAGAATTCATAAACCACCAATCTTATTTCTTAATAACAATAATTACTTATGGTTAAACTGCAATAAATTGAATGAAACTGTATGCAACAAATAGTTTACTGACCGATTGCTCGAGGTCTTTGCCCAACTCCTACAGGATTTTCTAACCCAATGGATTTCTCTGCATTTGTTAACACTGCACAGATTGCTCCTAACACAGCCTACAAACATAAACAAAATTAAGGAAACCCAACATATACATTTTAAAAACATGTTGGTTTAATGTAAAAATGCAAAACTGACCTCTTCTGATTGTGACCAAGCTTTTGCAGGATGTCTCATTCTGTTTAAAAAGAGACTGTGCCACTTCATTCTGAACAAGACGGCAGTCTCAGCATCCTGGGTGGTAGAAAATTTGTCATCTTGTTAAATGTTTGTTGATTATATATAAAGATTACACACATTTACAGGTAGACTGTCTAAATTTTTGATGATAGCAACAGAAAATTGTATCACTTATGACTTATCTTACCATCTGGGATTCAAAGTCAAAGCGAATCCAGTCATCAAGCTTGACATAAACATCCCCATCAGGACTCTCAGGGTTCATTATTTTTCTCACCTCCTCTTCTTCATCATCTGAATCTACAAACAAAAGGTTTTTTTTTCTTTTTATTATGCTAAAAAAAACAACCCAGCATTTCATTAACTCTTTACAATTCTCAGGTTTAGTAGAAAAATATTGGAGTGCACTGGTCTCAATTGTAAAATGTCCACTAGACATTATTAAACAAGGAAAGTATATAGTGTTATGCACCATTCTTTAGGTAATTGAATAGAGAATCAGCAGAGATTAAAAAATCCAATGTAGCAGGTATGGCCTTGAAAGCACAATTAATTAATTAATTAATTAAATTTGGTTTTACTTTTTTAAAAACAATTACATGAAAAACACCAAGAACAAAAAAAATAAGCCAAGTCCTATAATGAAACAAAGTAATGTTTATTGGATAGATAAATCAATTCTGCATTTAAAAAAGGTGATGTGATGCATTTAGGACAAGAACTAAAAAAAATATACAATAAACAATAACATGACCTGTGTAAGGGGAAATAAGTAAAAAATTTATAAAAAAGTAATCTGCAAAGAAATTAATACAAAATAGGATAAGGTTATTGATAACAAAATAAAAACAACAAGATTCAAGAAGATTCATGAAATTATAACAAACAGTTACTCTTTTTGTGAATACAGATATGTATCACAAGTGCAACACTTAGTGCTGACCCCCCCCCCCCCCCCAATATTTATTACTTATAATCCTGAATACTAATTGCTTGATCAACATACAACTGTGTATAATTACCTCCTACCTATGTTCTGCTGTTTACCTTTACTGAACCATTAGCTGTCTTATAGCTTGACATCACAGACTGTTTTAATTATCGCGCCACTCAACTGTTACAATGTCACCCTCGCTAAACCATAGCATGTCACCTCTTTTTGAAACTTTTTCAAAAGACCTATCTTTTAGGGCAATAAGAAAACCTTTCCTATTTTTATAATTGTGCCACAAACACCAATTCCACATTTAAAAGATCTTTAAATAGTTTAAGTTTAGTGTACAAGTTGTCAAAAAATAAAAGATATACTGCACGCAAGACTGATTGTGACAATATGGTAACTACATCATAAGATAAGCCAGAGTTGGAAGTCTGTGGTGTCTTGTCTTCAAACATCAGCAAACCTAAAAAAAGAACTCATTTATAGATCTATAGTTAAATTTTACCACCTTTTGGAAATAGGTCTTGTAAGTCCACATTGTGCTACATAATGGTTGGTATACATAACAATTGTCTTCACCATATCCACTGTAAAGTACAGCTTGACGAAATGACACAGGGCTTAGGGATTCCCTAGCAGCTCTTTTAGTTAAAATGTCCCCATTGACTAAGATGTGTTCCATGTTTCTTAGCAGGTTGGAATTTAGGATCTGGAGGTCCACCATCTACATCAGGATGCTGTCTTGGGTCTGAAATCAAAACAAAATATATGTTGACTTGGCTAGATGATTTATTATAAATATAGGATAGGCCTAATACTTAGAATATAAAATAATGTAATAGCTATAAAAACAAGAGAATATTGAAATACTGAAAATATATATTAGAAACTAAGCAACTATAGCTAGTTAACAGTGAATACAAAGCAGAAATATTTAGACAAAGCTACAAGATGCTAGAGCATACACTGTAAACAGCTCCTTAGCAACCATTTTTTTAAATTTACTGGTGTGAATGGTGCATTTTATTTTATTTTTATTTAATATTTTATAAATAATATAAATACTTCATATTATATCGATATTTCTAGAAGAGGCTGGTGTAATTAATATGAGTGTTTGTTATAATGTATAATTTCATGGTGGGGCAATTTAATTAAAAATGTTCAGTCTTAACTTTGAAAAAAAAAAGTTGTCAACTCACCGATGCCTGTCCCTATGTTGTGTTGAGTTATTAACTGAGATATTTCCCAAATCATCGTTTGAATCTTCGAATTCTGTTTCCACAATATCTTCATCAGACGATTCATCACAAAATCTCATATCACTTGTGGTGTTAAACATTTTATTTTCATTTAATTCGAAGAGTCTGTCTCAAATCGACTTCACTAAAAATCCAAAATGGCGTAAGCAAGGCATGCTCAGTTCAAGCGTTTTCTTTCGTTTTTTTCATAATAAGAAAATAAGTTTCGCATTTTATGTGTGTTTTTTATAAATGCTAAAACAATTAGGAAAATAATGCCATTTTAAAAAAATAAAAAAGCTTAGGGATTATTATTAAAAAATACACATTTCTGCGTCGATCTTATAAGAACGATAGCTAAGGGAGAGAATTGAAAAGAGTTAATCAAGCCAATGGCTCAAAGTGCAAAAGATAATTTTCAAGTTTTCAAATAAAGTAAAAAGTGAATAAGCAAAGTGCTGGTATCCTAAGGGTAGTCAAATTTCACTTTATTTGTCAAATAAGGGCAATGAAATATGAACAAGTAGGTATCCTTTTAAGCTAAGGGTGGTCAAAGTTCCGCTCCTTTTTTGAATTCTGCACACAAATGGATTGTGAGTCAGGTACACATTTAGTTCTGTATATACTGATGGCCAATGCTAGGGTCAAGGCTAAAGTATGCAAAATCACAGTTTTGATACACACAGCAAAAGACCGCAGGGCCTTAAGGTTAACAGTCATGTAAACAGTGCAGAAAAGAAAAACATTCTTTGAGTTAAATTTCTAATAAATATTGGCATAATGAATATCATACCTGCCCTAGATACAGGTTGTCTTGTGATGGCATCTGTAGTGATTTTACTATGACCCCCAAAGACAAAGACAGCGGCAGACGACACCAAGGTGCAGTACTTGGCCAGTGAAACTCTCTGGAAACGGGACATCTCCTCATAGATGATCCACTTGGATGGCAGAGATTTGATCACCTTCTTCAGGGACTTGGCTGGGTACACACTAGTAGCTGATGTGACAGGGTGAAGCACGGAGCTGCTGTGGTACCTCACATTTCTTTCAGATCTAGTCAAAAAACATTAGTTCTCTCTATATAAGCAGTTTAAAAATGAAGGCATATTTATATGAAGTATTGTTACTTTACATTATATAAAAAGTATGGGATATAAACAGGAATAATGAGAGAAAGTATATGATCATACTATGATCTCTAAATCCTAGTACTGAATTTATGGTCCCTATATTTATGTAAATTACAACTAATTTTGTTTTTGAAATCAACATGACTTTAAAGGCTTGTTACAGAAAGCAACGCTTACATAGTGCATAAAGTCATGGATTCATCCCTCTGCATTATGTTTGGATAAGTTCCAGCCAGGATACAAGCTTTGACCAGTGCCCAGTTGTCAGAGTTTGTGTTCAGATCTCTGATGTCTCCAGCACCTCGTGCTCTCAGAAAACCTGAGACTCTCAGCTGGGCCAACAGCTGCATCCTGTTCAAATAGTTTTAGGTTAGGATTTTTTAAAAGACCCATTATCTGATCAATAGTATACTAATGCAAGCTTATAAATGAAAATACAGCAATTTTCTTATCTTCATAAATGTTTTTTTGATAATCTGAATATCCACCTCATTCCTAACAGCATTTCCATAGTTGAGGAAGAAATAAAATTCTTATCACAAAAGGCTCTCTCCCATCCTTCAGCTCTTGCTTTTTGCCAGGCCTAGAATGAGACAAATATATACAAATATTAGAAGATTTAAGATTTTTGGGAAGATTTAAGATTTTGGTGAAAATTTAGTGTTTAAAAAAAAATTGCTAGTAGAGTGTATTATTGCTATTATTTTTCTAGCATGTTAAGTAATGCAAAAGGTAAACAGCAATACCTGAAACGCTCTAAGAAAAACCATATGATCACTGTATGTCTCTTCGGCAAATCTCCTTCGTTTACCCATCACTGCCCTTTTCTCTGATGGCAATGCAGGAATGATAACTGGAGAAAGTTTTAAACAGTTAAGTGGTTATAACAAGTTAAAAACAATAAGTTTTATAAAGTAAAATGAAACTAAGGGTCACACATTACTTTACAAGTGTTAACAAATATTTTTTTTTCTATTGCAAATAATTAAAATATGAAAAGTAAATACATAAAGTTTTAAATATCAAATAGTAATTAAATAGCTTTCTGTCATTGTTATGTTAAACAATTGATAAATTTTAAACTAATTAAACATTATGGTTCAGTTAAAAAACTATGATGTGAATTATGGGTAATATGAACTTACAAGGTTCTTTGAAAGCTAAAGTACAAACAATTGTTAGCACAGGGTCTAAACATTTGAGGACCACTGAATAGAGAACCATTTTCCCCAGCCTAGGCTCCACTGGCAGATCTGCTAAATGCTGACCCAATTCTGTCATCTCTTCAAATGGGTCTAGTGCATCAATTTGCTAAAAACAAACCAAATGAAAACAATCAATAAAAAAACATGTGACAACCCTTTAAGTAAGATTACACCTAGGTTGTAAAAAATGATCACATTATTTGAAGCAACAAGTTACAATATACCTTCAACAACTGAATTGCATTTCTGATCACCAGCTGTGGTGGGGCTTGAGGACACTTGCTCAAAAAGTCTACAATAGATTGTGTGTTGGGTGCCAAGAGTTTAGTGTGTAGGCACAACTCCTGGGAAATAATGATCAAGTAAACATCAATGATAGATGTAAATGTTAGTTAACATTAAACTAATCAGGTAGTAATGAGGATCTAACCTGGAGTGGAAGTCTAAGAATCTCTGGCGTCTGGTAATCTTGCAGGTGAATATAGCGGGCTCGGCTGAATAAGTGGTAACATTTCCCTGGCTGACAACGACCGGCTCTAAAATATACGTAAAGATACCAATACTTAAAGACAGCAAGAGAAGCCACTCAGATGATACATACACTAATATTATTGGCTACACACTTACCTGAATTAAATTTTACTATGTTTTAAAAAAAAAACACTTTTTACACATTAATCATAGCTAAATATTATTTATTTTATATTCATTTTTTAAGTTGTATATTAGGTATAGAAACCATATTAAAAAGAGAAATGATCTGTCAATACAAATTTTAAAGTGTTAAGGAAAAGATCATGTTCCCCCTTCACAACTGTCTTGCTTATGTAATGAGTGGATGAACAAGATGACTGATATTAATGTGTAAAGAAAAGCTGAATTACCTTCCTTTTCTCTGTAAAGCACTGGCCTTGGAAATCCAATTACTTTTTAAAGCAGTAAGTGAAGTCAAAGCATCATATGTTTTCTGGTGGGTTGAAAATATTTATGTTGTCTTTTTGTATAATTGCTAAATTTTTAAAGTTCTTTTAAAAAGTATTACATAGAGAGGTACAATATCAGTAAAATACTAGGACACAGAAACCCTAACAACATATATTAATATGAAATTAGCTATATAATCTACTTTTAAAGTAAAGTTAGTCTTCAATAAATAACAAATAACATACTGATTACCTCTTTCACTTTGCCACAGTCCACAACATAAACAACATCATTGATTGTGATTGATGTCTCAGCAATGTTAGTAGACAAAATCTGAAATTTAAAAGAAATAATTTAGCACAAATAGTAAGATTTTTTAAAACCTGATGGAAAAAGTAAAATATATGTTTCTATAAGGGGAAAAAATAAAGAAATCATATGGCCAGTAAATGCTGTGTTTCATTCACTTTTACTGACCAACGCCAGGTATCTATATCAAGCTGAAAACAAGCTCAATATTTTTTGTGGTAACTGTAAAGGCTAAAGCTCAATAAGTTTAAGTTAGAAGTGCTTTAGCTTAGTATAAAATTAACCATTACAGTCTTTTTCCTTTTCTTTTTTCCTTGCAAAGTAACTTACATTTTTATCAAGCAGGGTTACTATTTAGAAACAAAAAGTTTATGAACTTTCCCCACAATACTAATGCGAATGTTTATTTAAATGAGGAATCGTCAAATCTACTTTTGTTTAATAAATTATGAATTTGAAAAATATGAATTTCATAAATTCATGTTGGTGAGATAATGTGATGTGGACGTAACATTTTTGGCAGAAATTTAATACAATTTTAAGTTTGATTATAAACATGTTAATTTAGTGAATATGACTACTATAAAGTTAGTTTATAAAAAATAAAAAACTTGAATGAGACAGTACGAATACACACTTCAAAGAGAGCCTGACTTCTCTAGATGCAAACCACCATAAAATATTTATTGTGTTAAAATAGTGTAATAGCATATTCATTTCACAAATGTTCTTATCTGTATTAATTTGTGATCATATAATTTTCTCTTTATTATCAATTGTTACAAAAAAAAATGGATATTTTAAAACCGTTTGAGAGTATTTGAGTATATTTGGGAAAGACAATCTTGAAGGGAATAGAGAGACAAAAATTAGATAGTTTACTTACAATTTTTCTCACACCACTTGGAGGGTTTTTAAAAACTCTTTTTTGGTCTGAATACTGGAGTGCTGAGTGAAGGGTGTAGATCACATACCTAAAATATTGTATGCCCAAGTAAGATATTGCAATATGCTTTTATAACCGAGAAGGATGAAACATAAAATGAATCTTTACTTACCTGGCATGCTCAAACTGACGATCTTCTATTATGGCATTTTTGAGATTAACAATGTCATCATATCCAGGAAGAAAAACTAATATGGCACCTTATTTAAAAAACAAAACAAAAGGCTAATTGGAAAATATCTATTTAACAAAAATACTAGTAGAAAAAAAATTCATATTATTTAATCTATCTTATTACATTACTCAAATCAATACTCTGCAAATGCATAATTTAGGAACAATACCAGATACCTTGAATAGAGTAAATAAGTATCTACTAACCTTCCCCTGATGTAGTGTGGATTTTATGAATAAGACTTGAGACTAGGTTTATGTCCACCTTATCATCATCAAAACTATGCTGGTACATTGCTAAAAGCTCTCTGTCTTCCTCAGAAATCAACTGCATGTCTTCATCAGCTTTATCCAGTCCAGACTCCAGAGACGATCTGAAGCAAAGAAAGGTAATTGTAATTATATTTCATTAAATTTGATAGGCGTTCATGATAGAGAGCACATGATTGCTAACCGAAAAGAGATCTATTCTATCATTTTAAATATGACCCTGAACCCACAAGGCTTTAACGAGTACATAACTTAAGTCGGAAAAACTTAAGGAGACTTAGCATGGTCCTGACCACTCCATTTAATCATATGCACAGGCTAAAACAGAGTAAACAGGAACTCTCGTTTACATGCATTATGATCACGAAGGGTAATTTTCTTTACTTATTCTATAGAAAATTATTGAAATTTTAACAGGATTAGTTGGATGTTGTTGCTATTGGAAGAATAGCTACAAAAAATAAAATACTTAAAAAAAAACTTTTTAAAAAACCACGTTTTTCTTGTGGACTAAAAAGTAGAAAATAAATTTTTCTTTTGTGCTTCCTCGAGCTGTGCAGATTCTTGTGATGACTGACAAAAAACGTGGGTACGTTCACCATCAAATTTCCCGACCCATCTGCCCGACCCACGTTTTTTGTCAGTCATCACAAGAATCTGCACAGCTCGAGGAAGCACAAAAGAAAAATTTATTTTCTACTTTTTAGTCCACAAGAAAAAACGTGGTTTTTTAAAAAGTTTTTTTTAAGTATTTTATTTTCTCCTTTTTAGTCCGTTGCTACACATGAAAAACGTGGTTTTTAAAAAAGTTTACTTTATCTAATGACTTGATTAAGTATGACTTGACTAAGTGTTTATAAATACACGGACTAAAAATCTTGAGCGACCAGGATTCGAACCTGGGTTGTCGCGGCCACAACGCGAAGTACTAACCACTATACGATCACGGCCAGCGCGCTCACATCGATTGGGGCCGAAGTAACTGTGTCAATAGGCCTCCAGTCTTGTCGGTATCTTTAGAAATCATGTCCTCAATTTTATGGTCCTTGGGGCGTAATTAAATTAAGCTAATTACGGTCTCTAATTGCTAGTTTTTATGATTGCATCTGAAATTGTTAGGCGAAAGTAGCCTGCATGCCAAATTTCAGATCTCTAGAGCAATCAGAAGTGGGCTAATTTTCAATGTCAATTTTAACAACAAACAAACAAACAAACGCGAAGCTGAGTTAAGAAAAACGTGTTAAAATAAGTAATCTATGCATAGGGTAAAGGAAACATTAAATATTACAAATTTTAATTAGTTCGACAAAATAATTTTTTTGATTGTTGAACACTTACAAATAAGCTTCAAGAAGCGCTTCAATATTATTTCTCTCAAATTTTCTAGCAAAGTCCAGTGCAGTCCAGTTATTAGCAGTTTTAAAATTAGCATCTGCACCTAGAGTGAGCAGATGTTCCACCACATTGATAAATCCCCTAGCAGAGGCAATCATTAATGGGGTTGTGCTGGTTTCTGACTGAATATAATCAACTGTAGAAAAAAGTAAGCAGTTGATTTAGTTGCAATACACATGCAATAAACACAGCCAGAAAATTAGTTTAAAAATCATGCTTTAATTATCTAATATTATAACAGATGGTTTAGGAAACTGAACCTACCACTAACATTCTCATTGGAAATCAAATAAAGGATCTGGTGAAACAGCTCTTCGTTGCCAGTCAACCAAACCTCCCGGAGCAGCCTGTCCATCTCCTCAACAACCCATGGTTCAAGGTCTTCTTTTTCTTCACCCAACTTACACAAATAAATCAATTTTAAATGTAACAATTAATTTAATTAAAAAGCAGAGTATATTCTCATTTTAAAAAAAAAGTATTAGTGACTAAAAGAATTAAATGGTATTAAGGGCAATCTGCAGAATCTAAGCCATTACCTCAGCATTATCAGAAGTGGTAACATCAGAGTCTTCTTCTGTTCCACTTCCAGGTGCTGAGTCTGATATAGTTAGCTGCTTAGAGCACCATTCCGTTAACTGCTCTTCTTGATTCTTGACTGAAAAAAGGGAATGAGAAATATTTCAAAGCTGTTTGACACTTCATGAAAAGACAATTTTGTTTAAAAAAAAGTGCAATGAGTTAGATTATTAAAACCTTTTTAAAGCTTTATTTATAATTGAGCAAAATCTTTAATTCATTATAAAAAATTTCAATTGATAAACCAGGTTTGTTGGAGGTTTTTGTAAATCTTTAAGATGCTAAAAACTAAATCATGAACAACACTCAGAGTATTTCACTTTGAGTAACCAGTTTGCATTCTATAAACACCTGACTTACATTTCTGTTTCTTCAATAAATCTTTATCCATCTTTTTATTTCTATATCCAGTCCTGTGGGTAAAATATTTATGTACTTTTATAACAATTATATGAGAAATTGTTTTATTAAGCGATCAATAGCTAAAACGTTGAGCAGCAGCAAATCATTAAATTTGCTGTTTACTAACATGCAATACTAACCACTTTAAAATGTCTTCTAGGAAGAATTCTTCTACTGAGAACAAGCTTCCAGGTACTGATGAGAAAAAATAAAATCTATTTAAAAATAAATAGATAACAAGCAACATAAACCTTACTTATTTCTAAATCAATACTCTTTAGAACTCAAAATCTTATTATAACATTTAAAAATGACGTTTCTCTTATTTTGCTAGCAATAAAAACTAGAAATATTTTTAAAAATCCACCTGCAACAACAGGGCAGTTGTTAAAATATCCTGAAAATAAATCCATATTTAATGTTGCACTCATCAAAATCACATGGAGATTAGGATACTTTGGCAAAGCTTCCTTCAGGCAGAGTAAAAGAAAATCTGAAAATCTATCACGCTCATGTACTTCATCCTAAAAACAAAATTAATAAAAAACATTTAAGCAAATTTAAAAAACTAAGCAAAAATATAAAAACACATTCTTGTTCTCAACTTAAACTTATTAAGTAAAAAATGAATATATTCAATAAATCAAAAAGATACATTTTAGATATTTATTAAACAATCAAATTTACAAGATTAAAAATCTTTAATGAGCAGTAATTTTTTTGTGCATACTAACCACAATAACATGAGTAATATTGCTGAGACAAGAGTCACTTCCCATTAAGGTTCTCAAAAGCACACCAGTGGTGCAAAATGTGAGAACAGTTTTAGCTGAAATTCTAAACAAACATGCAAAAATTTCAAAATTTAGATATATATATATATAACTTTCTAAAATTGATAAAATATCATGATAAAAACTTTACTTATATAATAAAGGTATTTCTTAAATATTATATTAATGTAAATGTAGCTTAAAATGAGGCATAAATAAAAAAAATTATAAATAAAACTGTAGAGAGTTAATATAAATGTATCACTTAAATAACTTGTGAACTGACATCAATGAACTGCTTAAAGAAAACTTACTTGCTCTCCAGCCGTATTTGGTAACCTACTGTATGCCCCAGCCTTTCCCCCCTTTCAAGTGCCACTCTCTCTGCAATACTGACTGCAGCAATTCTCCTAGGTTGTGTACACAAAATTCTACATACTTGTCTCTTGTCACAATAGTCATCCAAAATCAATTGGGGAACCTTGAGACAAAGAAAATAAATCAAATGCTCAACATTTCCAGAAAGTTAAGACTCCTTCATGAATAGAACTTTTATAGTCATTTATAATTATGGTAAGAGATCCATAGTGACTAATACAGTAGAAAAAATTGTAATTACCTGAGTAGTCTTACCGGAACCTGTTTCACCTGCAACTAGGACCACCTGATTGGCATTGATGGTTTCCACAATACTAGAGGCCATGTTATAAACAGGGAGAGATTCTCTAAATTTCTGCAAGTCAGAGGCACCACGCTTTTGGGGAACTTGCGGTACATTGTAAGTTAAGCGGCCAAAATTAGATTTCTCCTTGTCTTCTGTTGATAACAATGCCTTCATAAAAATTGGAGTATACTACAGAATAATTATTTTTAGTCTAGTATTTGGGGGTCCCAACAAAAATGCAATACAGCGTAAAGTTTTTTCCATCTGGAAGTAATTTTGTTAGTGTAAAGTTAATGTAGCAATGCCAGCAAAAAAATGGCTAAAAAAAGTCCTCAGGCAGTTTTTACAAGCACAGTGCCTATGTAGACTTTTGAAATATGTAGAAAATTATAAACTTACTCTCACTAGCATTTGGAGACTGAACCAGAATTGGTGTTAAGTCCTGTTTTTCTTTAGTAGTGACAGGATATTTATTAAGAAGTACATTCACTTGAGATGCGCTATGCAACAGTGTAAACAGATAAGGAAAGGTTTTTGCATTTTTTCCACCTTCCACCTTCTTAACTGTAATGTAGCGATTTTGACCATTTCTGTGAGAGGGAAACGTAAATGACAACATTTTATATTTAGTGAAGTAGTGGGTGAAGTGATAACTTTTGTATTTCACAAAAGCTAGTCCAAAATATGGTTTAACATTTACCCTCTACTCCAGGTCTTCAAATTTCCAAGCTGAGTGCAGTAACGATGGACATAAGCCCTTTCAGTGGTTGACAATGAAGATGGAAAACACAACTCTATATAAATTTAAAAAAGATATTTTATTGAAAAAAAAAAAGTGAAATCTAGATGCCAACATTAGCAGATACAAATTGCTTTATTTCTAATTTTACCTTCTTGTTCTGGATCTAATCTGAACCTCTGAACTGCTAAGTGGATTCCTATTTTCACCTCTTCACCAATGCATACAGCTTCATTAAGTTTAGGACCTCTTTCAGTCCTAGTAGGATCTTTACGAGGCATTTCTCAAAATTTTGTTTTCTGATAGAATGGAAGTCAATGATTACAGTAATGATTGATACAAGTTTACAGTAATTTTTTAAATGCTGTTGGCACCCCATATGCCCTAGCAGCAATCTTAGCACTGACGGTTCGCTGACTGGGCAACCGGCACAGGATATTAGTCTGGGTCTGTACTTCAATCAACAGTCAAAGTACACCACTTCACGTTCACCTCCAGTTGAGCATATTTTATTATAATCTTCTATATATATAATTCTCTTCTTCGAGCCGTTAGAAAATAAGCTGCAAACGCTCTCCCTACCTCCCCACCCCTACATGGTTTTAGTGAGCTGTGTTCACTCTAAATGTTTACAAGCAGAGCCAACGATTTTAAACGTAGGGGGGGGGGGGGGAGGAGGGGGGGAGGGAAGGAAAGGGGGGGGGGGGGTTATGGTCCTTAACGAGCTACTTATAGTGTTTTAAAGAAATATTTTCAATGTCAGCGTTGGTACTGTCGAATTCACAAATTATGAATTATTGAAAATTAGAAACAACTAAATAGCGGCGTATGTTATGCCGCGGGCCGGCTCGTATTTATAAACACAACCGAAACACACAAAAACATTAGGAAAACATTGGGCTTATTTCTTTATGAATTTTTGTTTTAGTTTTTGATAATTTACTTTTGTCAAAACTTGAGAAAAATCCAAATTTGGAATATTGAATGTGCTATGACAATGTTCAAGACGTATGCTGATAATTAAAGTCAATGTGAACTCATGGTGAACCCTCGACCGTGTAGGGATTTTTTTCACGATATTCAATTTGAACGATCCTACTGCTTTTTAATGTTTTTTTTACCTTTTCTAATTAAAACTCACATTCATAAAAAAAAGCTCTAATCTTAGTGTTTTTCTAACGTTTTTGAGTGTTTTGGTTGGGTTGATAATTTAAATACGCTCAACCGGAGGTGAATGTGAAGCAGCGAATAAAATACGCTAAAATAAAGTTTTACCTCGCAATATACTTCTATTAATGCCATAACAATGAGGCAACTTTTTTTTCACATTACTACTATTAGGCTCGGATTATTATACGGTACGCACCCTAAAACGTACAATAGCGGAGATAGATTACCAATGATAATCTATCGTTTTAGGTATGTAAAATTGCCAGCAACTAATAATGTGAAAAACAGGTGACTCTTTAAATTTTAATAATTATTTCACATTTTGAGGAGGATTTATGTTTTGAAAAATACAAAAATGTTTTCTCGTTTCATTTATGTACCTGTTTTTAAACAATTGAATTAAAAATTTTCAGCAATAAATGAAGACTAGCAATGTTTCCAACAGATGCAACCATGCTCATTTACTATTGCAGCCATCTTTGTTTAAGTTTTTTTTTGTAAACTTACAGCGAGATTCAGGGGAAGCCACTCTATTTTTCAAATGGCTGTTGTTTATATAGCAAATCTTGCTAGCAAACACTGCTGTTTAAAGTAAATTTCTGGCCTATAGTGATATATTATTTTAGCCAAAATTGATTTAGGTTTATTATTCATTTATCTATATTTGTGAAGTGACTACTCGGAAGATTTTTCTCCCCAACGTCTCCACTTAGTCTGCAAAAGATAGCTCTGCGCATGCGCAGTGACCTATGGCTAGGCTTAGAATTAGGGCTAGGGATAGGATTAGGGTTAGGATTATGGATAGGATTAGGTTAGGGAAAGGATTAGGTTAAGGAAATGATTAGGGATAGGGTTAGGATTAGGATTAGGGTTGGTGTTAGGCGTTAGGGTTCTGCAGTTGTAAACACACACATGCGCAGTACCATCGAAAACATCGCCGCGATGGCAAGTCGTAGTTTCTCTCCATTGCGCATGCGTATCTTTTTCCGGCTAGCATCGGCCTAATATTTGACACAAATATATCACAATATACTATTATACTTCTATCTATTAAACTTCTTTACTTTAAAGCCTTGACAATGAGGTAACTTTTTTCGTACATTACTAGCCGCAGGCGATTTTACGTACCTAGAACGCTAACAAATATTAATAAGATTACCTAAAAAAATATCTATATATATAATTCTCTTCTGGGAGCCGTTAGAAAACAAGCTGCAAGCGCCTCCTTGCAGTCCCCTCTCTTTCTCTCTATCACTATCACTACCACTCCCACATTGTCTGGTGAGCTGTGGTCACTGCTAAAGTGTTTACAAAGCTAAATGTTTACAAATCGTAGAGCCGGGTTTCTGTCGAATTCACAAATTATGAATTACTGAAAAGTAGAAAATAAAACCACTAAATAGCGACGTATGATACGCTGCGGGTCGGCTCGTATTTAATAAAATTATAAAAATATTATTTGAGACTAAAAAAATAATTGAATTGAGACCTACACGAACAAAATCTACTGGTCACAGCTTGCATATTCTTTTTGTAACGTTGAACAAGCTTAACGACAATCTAAGTCAATTACTATTAGGCCTAATTTCTTTAAATCAATCCGACCCTTGATTGTTTTAAAATTAATGTGTTCGTCTATTAATTCACACTGTGACTGAACTGATTATTTATTTATTATTACTGTTTTCAGTTTCCAAGATCTGGTACATCTAAGTGCTGAAAGAAAAAAAAACAGCAGAGAAGTTTCTTTAACTAAAAAAAAAAACACAAAAAAAAAGCAACCACACGAGCAAATATATAACGAATCTTAGGAATCTTTACTTAACATCCAAAGTCACTCTCTGTCGGAAAAAAACTCTTAAAATTACTCACTCACTCCAACAAATGACCATCATTCTTACAAAAATAAAGTATTTTTTATCATTTTTAAGAAACCCACTTAATATAAAATATACACCACATTTGCCATGTGTCTTTTCTTGACATTACTGTATAATTAAAATTAATTATATCAGTCTTTAATTCTAAAATTTAATATTGAACAATTTTACTTTCTCCCCCATTTCCAACACCCCTCATCAACAATAACATTATATATACATAACTTAATTATTTTTTGAAACAGCAATTTCTTCCTAAAATATCGGAGACGGGCCACCTTTAGTACTATTGGTACTTCTTCTCTTTCAATTTAAAAAAGTATTTTTTAAAATCCTAAAATGCAAGTAGATTCTAAATCTAGATCTATAACATCACAATTTCGGCTTAGGATCCTGCCTCCCCCTTGTCACCAAGACCAAGTCAGCTAAGTCAAACCACCCTCACACCCCAAAAGACTTGGGCGGTTCAGATTGCTTTTCGTTTAAGCGAACCATAATTAACCCCAAGATTCTATATATTACGTTGTTTATTCTCTTCAAACAACATAAGAAATAGATCTAACTGTTTTAATAAATCGTCCATTAATAAAATAGAGCTAATTTGATCTAATTACTAGATTCTAACTAATTAATAAGATACTAGAATCTATTTTTGGTTTCGCATTTTTTAGATTTAGTAATGATCAGATTCGCGTGTTTGCTTACACTCCCCATCCACCCCATCTACTTGCCAAGTAGGATTATGTTTAAACTAGAATTACTCGATCTATACTTACTAGGCCTACAGCCTAGCCTACAGTATATCGACTAGATTCTAGATCTAGATCTAGTTATTCCCACATTACCATTATGCCTACATACTAGATCTACCTACATGATTATTATTTGGTAGATCTAGCGCTAGCCTAAACTGAAATTAATCCATTCAGCAGAACAGATGAGTGTATGATGACCAAGATAAGTCGTCACTAAAAGGAGTAGAATGATGTCAATGTCTCAAAAAAGTGTTAAGTTATCATTTGTCGCTGGTTTAGCCTTGGGATTGGGTTGTAAGTACTAGATCTAAGTAATAAAAGTATTCTTTAGAAATTCTAGAATCTATTCTTTACTATTACTATGCATTAATAAATAATAAATTAATAATAGTTATTAGGGGGGGGGGGGGCTAATTTTAGACTTATGTTATTTTATTTTTTTACTTTTTACTATAGAAATAGATAAGATAGTAGGCTAATAGTAATACATTTAAAATTTAAAGTTGATTGGGCCGAATAAGCCTACCTCATCATACCTGACCTAACGATAGGCCTATTACTAATAACTAATAGGCTAATTAATGACGCCTAATCTATATAAAAATCGATTGTAGGAAAAAAAGTCACAGAAAAAAAAAACACAGGAAAAAAAACAACAGAAAAAAGTCACAGGAAAAAGTCACAATTATATATTGCATCGAATTTTTTAATACTTTTATGTGTTAAATATTCAGCAAATGCAAATCAAATTAGATTAATTAACTGTAATGTAGTGTGTAGGTTGTATATATATATATATATATGATAGTAATATTTATAGTAATCGTGTGTAGGCTTTAATTCCGCTATACATATAATATTTAATAGAATGTTCCAGCCTTTCGGTTTTCATCGTGCCTTTAAAATTAGCGTGAAATGGCATAAAGACGTTGCAAATCTGACTTGCTGTCCTCAACTCACTGCAACAATAGTTCAACCACCTTTTCTGACCACATTCATCACGCTCATTACGTAACAAAGCATAGGATCAAAACAGAAAACCGACACTGTTCAAAGGCTGGCTTTGACGCAAAATTGTCAATGACACACATTATGGACAGACAATGCCGACTTAAGAGAAGCCGGCCAAGGCATGGCCAATGGCAAAAACAAATATGCGAAACACAAGGATGTGCCAAAATTTCTTTTGTAATTAATTTTTCTACAGTGTATTTAACTACATACGTAACAAAAGTTGAGGTTGCTGTGTAAATTACGTCGTATTATTTTTTATGTATTATTGTTATAAACCATAATGCTTTTACGTTTATAAATATGTTACTAAAACAAAAACTACCCACACCAATAAACACCCACAATTTTACACTTCTTAACAATTAAATCAAAATATTTCTTAAAATATTTTTGTGACTTTTCTTCTGTGACTTTTCTTCTGTGACATTTTTCCGATAAAAATTTTCCTTTGTGACTTTTTTTCTGTGACTTTTTTTCCTAGCAAAAACTGACTTTTTTCTGTTTTTTTTCCTGTGACTTTTTTCCGTTCACCATAAAAATCAACCCCTCTTTGACCCCAAAGGATTTGGGCAGTTCAGATTCAGATTGCTTTTCCTTAAAAAAATCATTTAAGCGCATTTTTAAAGATGATAAGGCCTATAATTATAATAAGCACATTTTTAGCTAATTATATTATATATTAGATTGGAGGAGTGGGGTAATGTTACAAATGGTATTTATTGCAAGGGTACAAGAGTATTGAATATGTGTTGTGAAAGGTTTTTGTGTAAATAGAAGATGATTTTATGACGAGCTAAGCAAGAACATAACGTTTTAGTTTAGTATTGCTGTTGCTGGAGAAAAAGGTTAGGCAGTGTTAGTCATTTTGTTTTAGGAACTATGGAGAGGATATCGGCCACTATAATCCTTTACTAAATTGAATCAGGTGTGTTCTCCTATGCCACAGCATATGTGCTAATTGGGGGTGTTTTAATTTTACAACTTACCATTTAATTAACGTAAAGTGCAAAATCAACCTTAAGTTATGATCCTTTACAGAAATTGTAATTTTATCTGAACAAATTGTCCAAATTACTTCCCTTATGAGGTAGGTGATTTACAAAAAATAAAGTTATTTAATTCAAATTGCTGTTTTTGTTAGTGTTTATGCTTGTGTTTATGTTTATATTTATGTTAGTGTTTGTGTTCATGTTTGTGGTTAGGATTAGTTTTTATAATTATATGTTTGTGTTGAGGTGAGAGTTAGGTTTTATGTTTATTTTTGTGGTTGTGGTTGATTTTGGTTAGGTTTATAGTTAACTTTAGGATTATATATATATAAATATATATAAATACCAGGTATATGATGATTGATGAACACATCTTAGTCTGTTACAAGTATTACAGATAAGTTTTTGACAAAAGCCAGTGCAGAGCCTGGCCAGGACAGCAGTTTTTAATACATTTTTAGAACTGTCTGATTGAATCCCTCTTACTCTTAATGTTTTAGGGCTTCAAAGGAAAATCAGATAGAGATGTACTGATATATAGAAAAAAAAGTTGCAGGAAAAAGTCACAAATTTGTATTTGTATGGAATTAATAATAGGCCTACATTTAATGTAATGTTTTCAGAAAGTAAAAATCAACATGCATTCAACTCATATATTAACGATAATGTCAATATTTTAGATTTTGTAAGTAAGTTGTTAGTTGTGTTAGTACAGTTGAATTTATAACACATGTAAAAACAATGATTAATCTTAATTAAGTAACCTGTGTAGGTTTATAATATAATTTGATTGTTTCCAACACTTAATCAGATGTTCCAACTACACAGTTTGTTATTATCAGGTATTTTATAACTAGCATTGAATTTTAACTTAAAATAGGAGTAAGACATAGTTAATATGATTTTTTCTATCCACCTGGTTGCAACAATATTTCAACCATTTTGTAATGAAAATATTTTCTAATTTTAATAATTTCACATACTTTTCCATTGCTCAGTTATGAATAATGAGAGTATATTTCCTAATTTTAAAAAAGATTTTAAAAGTGTCAAGCTGCTCCTATAACAAAAATTGACAATAACAAGTTTTTGGTTCATGTCAGCAATACTGGTCTCTCAACCAATTGAGCTGATGATTTTTGTCAGGATTTCTTCAATAATTAAAAATAGATTCAATCTTTTCTAATATCTTATTACATTATTTTTAATAATAAAAAAGACTTACCTATAGGAAACAAATCAATTCTCTTTGCAATTAATACTTTTTTTTATTCGGTTTTCTTTTACAAAAAATAGAAATTGACTTATTTTATTTTGACATTTTGGTTGATAAGGACCCAAATGTGTATGGCCTTTAGACCATTACATTTGTTAACCTAGCCACCCAATACTGATTTTATTTATATTTGTAACAATTTTGTTAATTCAAACAATTTTAATTCTAGCCATGAAAATATTCAGTCTAAAGATTAGGCAATACCTAGGCTTATAGTTATAGCTTCTAATGTAATCATAATATATTGTATTATAATGTCTAATCATTCTTGCATATTTTGCAGGTAGCTGTTTAGCTGTATGGACAGTTTGGAAATTACTGAAAAAGCAGCATAAGCTACATAAAGACTATTTTGTTACAAAGAAAGATGTGATTATTGTAGATACACAAGACCAGTGGGAGGAAGCTTATTTAAGGCTTAAGAATGATTTAAATTATTGCAAGGTTGCTACATCAGTTTTATATGTTTCTAAAAAATAAAATAAAACTCAGAAGATTTGACTAAACCTTCAAAAACCAAATAATTGTTGAACAGTGTTTATTCACTTATTGTCTATACAATAGTTTTAACTCTTTTTTAAAAAAAATTAAATTTGCTTTAGGTAGTTGGTCTTGACTGTGAGTGGGTGCGGACATGTAAAGTAGCTTGTCTTCAGTTGGCTTGTGCCTCTGGCCCATGTGTAATCATTCGATTATTTAAGCTCAACCCATCTTTTCCACAAACATTGAAATCACTGCTAGCAGATAAAAGGTACCATTTTTTAGAAACAAAAATTATTTTTTCTATATACCTAGTTTATTTGGATTCAATCTTTATCATTTTCACTATATGGTGTCTTGCTGTTGTGTGTTATCTTTTTTGCAATAATTCATATGAATTCTTTCTATCTTTCATCTTGCTGATACTGGTGATAATGCTTTCTTGATTTTATTGTTATATTACCTTTAGAAGCCGAACAGCCTACTTAACTTGTAAAAGATATATATTCTTTATTTTCATTTTACATAAATATTTTCAGCATTTTAAAGATTGGAGTGGCGGTCACAGATGACAGTAAAAAACTGTTGTTTGATTACGGCCTGCAAGTGTCTGGTTGTGTAGATCTTAGAAATATATTGAACAGAGTAAGAGGTGTTTTTAATTGGTAATTTATAATTTTTATCTTCTTATATTTTTAAAAATTAATTGCTAGTGGCTCCATCAACTTTTAGAATGGTCTGGCCATTTATATATTATGGCTTTATTAAAGTCAACTTTAAAGTACATCATTGCTTTTATAACTTACTGTATTTTGTACCCACAATCTGACTTTTCATAACTTATGAATCATGCTTTTATCTTTCATGAAGTCCTTCACAAGGTCTTGGTGGATTAGCTAGGTGCATCTTAGGAGTAGAACTTAGTAAAGATAAAAAAGTTCGCTGTGGTAATTGGGAGTCTGAAATCTATTCTAGAGAACAGGTATTTATCTATTACTCATGTTATATGTTAACTGGTATCAGATAAGAACAAGACATAAAGCCATCTGTATAGGACATAATCCACCAAGTGGAATGACAAGTCCATCATTCTCCCAACTATTGGTCCATAGCCCTCAATAGCCTACATTCTGCCTCATAGTTTAGCCCACATAAAATGTCCCGCTGTTATTCAGACGCCTTTTTTTCACTCATTGCTTTTGGGTAACAATTTACAACACTTGGAGGCAAACTCAATACAACTCACTATCACACAGGTGAACGGAACATTTTAAATAAATATAACACACACCATCCCTCTCCCACCCAAAAGTTTGTAGTGAACTGTAAAGACTAACAAACACTAACAAAAACACATGCTGCACACATTTAAAAAAAAAAGATGCTAGTTAACATATATATTAGATTTATTGTCACCTTAGAATAACAAGCTAGGATCCACCTATATGAAACCCATCACATTTAACCTTATTATTCTAGGGTGATGAAATTATTGAAATGTAAATATTTGCTTGAGGTACTACATGGAATATTTTCTTCCTTGATCATCAGATTAATTATGCAGCTACAGATGCTGCAGTGGCTGTTGACATTTTCCTTACACTAATAATGACAAAGCTCCAAATGACAGAAAAGGTTAAGATTAACACCAACAATGAGGAGGAGGAGGATGCAAATTGTTCAACATTAGTGACTGATCTAGATAGCAGACCTCTGTACAAAGTGAATCAATCATGGGAGAGCAGTAGGTTTATTCTCACTACTGTTTTTTTTTATTATTTAGGAATAGGTTTTAATTGTTTTATATAACAAAAAAGCTAACTGGTTTATCTGAATTGTTTTTAATCACATTTTCAAAAGAAAGTTAAATTGATTCATTTTGTACTTCTCAATTTTTAAAATTTTGTTTTATAATAATGGGAGTCTTGTTTAATATATTTAGTGAAATTAAAGTGTAACATTTTACCACTTCAAAACTTGTTAGATTACAGCATGAGAAAAAATCAAGGATTGTGTAGTTGTTACTGTATCATTTCATATTAGCACTTGGCTTAGACAGTGTTTAACTACATGTAGCCTTTTTGTTCTTTTATTGTAGCTATTCAAAATCCTCAATTTTGGAATACTGCTTCTTCCTTGTGCCAGGGACTAGTAGATAATTATACCTCAACAAACAAATTGGTATGTTGATTCAAAAATAAAAACAAATTGAAAGTTAGAAAATTGAAACTTTTTTTTACAATTAAATGGTTTTGTTTTGTTACAGAGTTCTAGTAATAAAAGTTCAGTAGAGAAGAAAGGCACTAATGCCTACAGCAGTCGCAAAAGACCTTTGTGGGATAACTGTCGGCTGGAGGCGCCTGATGGAACTCTTCTCTGCACATGTGACCTGAAGAAAGCTCAGTGGTATCTGAATAAAAATTTGGGTGGTATGTCAAGGCACTTTATGTATATATGAATTTAAGGGAATCTAATTAAGTTAAAATCATCAATATAAGATATCTTGGCAACTCATGTGATGTCATCATTTAATGATGCTATATCATATTTATACATAGAGCACTTACTTTACTATTGATATATTGATTTAAACTAGCAATTCCATGGTAGTTTAATGGGTAAGCTCACGATATAGCACTGGTTATTATTCTGGGATGGTTTAGCAGTAAAAATTGTAAACAATGGCAGACATTCTACTACACCGTTCTGAAATACATACTGGACGTGCTTTATTTATACCAGAAGTGATGTAAGCCCTAGTTTATTTGGTGCTGAATTTTTAAAATACAAATTCATCGCTATGTTTTTTAAAAATACAGAGCGTTTTAAAACTTAGTAAACACTTTCCTTTTGTAACTACCTGTTTAAATTACTTTATTCGATATTTTATGATAAGTATTTACTTAGATTATACTGGATTTGTTGTTCTACATTCTTTCTTGTAATTATTTCTTGTGTATTGCTAATATTTAATTTAGTTTTAATTTATTTAAAAAAAATTTGAACCATGGCTGGCAGACCAAAATGACACCTTCAATTGTACTGGAGAATGAGGTAATGCCTGTGTGCAACATACCCACAGAAGTTAGGCTTCTGCAAACTCACTCTCAACATTTGAAGGTGCCATACAGTTTTGCAGTGGATTGATTCAAAAATTTTTTTTGTGTACATGGCAATCAACGTTGCACTTCAAATCATTACTAATAAGGTGTTGATGTCATGAGATGGTCGTGTGATGGTTGCAACTACCGCAAGTCTGTAAAAGACAAGTCATTTTTTGTGCACAGCCATCTGTCGCTCCAGAAAATTGTCAGTGTTTACTGTTTTGCACACAGTATGTTACAAATTGTACATCAGGCTGATGTTACAGATAATTTTGTAGTTGACTGGTGCAAATACATGAGAGATGAACATACAAATTTGCTGCAGAGGAATGGCTTAAAAAATCGGCATTTGGATGAACAAGAGCCCATTGTGGTGGAAATTGACTGTCAAAGTTTTTCCATCAGAAATATCGCAGATTTTCTTACTGCTGGTTTATGATGCATCTTTGGAGGCAACAAATAGGAACTCGACTAACAAGAAGTTGAAATATACTTATGGTTTATGAAAAACATGTTCTGCTTATACTAAACCTGCTAACTAGTATAACTATATTTGTATTTCACTAAATGAAACATTTTGCTCTTATGTTAGCATGTGCTATGATTAACTTAAACAAGATACTACCTGATGTAGTTAGTATTTTTAAAAATCTCTCCAATTAAAATCTTAGATGAAGTCTGTAGTGACCCTTTAACAGTGCGTCTTCACTTTGAGCCAGCTAATCGACCACAGTCCAGTGAAAACTATTATCTCCAGGAGAAAGAGAATGTTTGTGCTGTGTGTGGAACAAACAAAGATTATGTGCGCAAATTTGTTGTTCCTTTTGAGTACAGGAAGTGAGTTACGGTTTATCTTTTTACAGTACCTAATATCAATTTTAAGACAATTTTTTAGACTAAGACAACAGTTATTGTTAAAACAAGATGAAAATTTAAAAAAAATACAAAAGACAAACAGGGCTGCTGGTGTAACATCTTTATGCTAACAGCTGAGATATTTTCACATTTTATCATTAGACAAACAGATATTTCCCAAGTGGTCGAAGGATAACTGCTCATATTTTATCATTACACAAACAGATATTTCCCAAGTGGTTTGAAGGACCACTGCTCACATTTTATCATTACACAAACAGATATTTCCCAAGTGGTCTGAAGGATCACTGCTCACACGATGTACTCTTGCTGTGCACGCCCTGTCACAGAGTGAGCTGTAACTATGACTCTGATTTACGGAATCAGCTGGCCCAGGAGTGTGACGCCCCATTAGAGTCAGGACCAACAGCTAAAACTGTTTTAGATCATGACCTTCAAAAGGTCAGATCTGCTGCTAGGTAACTTAATTGCTTGAAACTAAATTATGTAAGCATGTTTATTTTATCCTTTGATTATTGTCTAGCTTCTTCAGCATTTGCTACATTGTTAAGTAAATGACAAAGCAACTTCACTTAGTAAAGGCAAACAGATCACTCATTCAATTTAAGACCTGTATGACAATAATTATTTTGCTTGCTTAATATTTGTCCTATTTTAATTGAACAATTCCATTTCATTTATAGAGCTTTAAAAAAAAGCAAGGAAACCATCCCTGAACACAGAGTTATTGAACTTGAAAATATACTGAAAAAATTTTTTGGTGTTGAAAGTTTAACGGAAGATCTTTTAAATCAGGCAGCAGATATTAACGACAGGTAAGTCTGCTATTTATTTTTCTTATAGTGTGGTTAGTGCAGAGTAACATAAACAGTTGCTGTGTCACGAGCATTTGCTGAAACTAATTTTTTAAAGTTTTTTAAAAAAGAATTAGCCCGAATCTTTATATTTGTCATTCTACTAATTACATCTGTTTTAAATAGCCATATAACATGTTTAGTATTTTATCAGTCCATTTCACTTTTCTGTTTTGAATGATGATCAGATGCACAGTTGATGGATTTGTCCCCCATGGAAAACGAGTGGTCCAGTTCATGTCTGAGAATGGTGGACTTCTACAGTTTCAATCACGATGGCGTCAGCATTTTGTGGACACAATGAACCCACAGTACCTGCCATCTCATTGGTCAGTTGACTACATTCCAGAGAACTGGAATCAAACACAGCAGGCAGATTAGACATCTGTTTTGAATGAATTTCTTTCAAAGCTGTTTACATTCTAGTTCATGCAAAATTAACAGAATTTTTAGATATAAATAAATAATTTGAAGAAGATTTGAGCTTGTTTAAACTGGTGTGTGTAAGAAAAAAACTATCTATTGTAGTCCAGGCATGCCTACACCTGGTGACCAAAAGTAGGATCAGTCATACCAAAAAGAGGAATTTGAAGCAAAAAAAGAGGAACACGCATATGGATGCTACTTTGCCAAGTAGAAAATAAATACTTAAAATAGGTCCCTCAGAAAAAGCCATTATGCCCTATTTATAATGAATAAGTTTAGTTTTATACTAAGTGAATATTTAGTCAGCATCTTGATCTATATATGCTACTGCTAAATTTCATCTCACTTTTAAATTTGAACACCACGCTCTCCGCCCTCCATTGAACTATAATAATTGTAGATGTTACAACAATATTAGATTCAACACAATAGAGAAGTTGATGCTACAACTACAACAATCTGCAACTATTTTGGATTCTTTGCTTTCCAAGCTCATGTGTTCCTGGCTCGAGATGTACTAGAATTGTATTAGTAGTAGGCCATATGAACAACGAATTCTTAAGTTCCTTGTCGTATGGCGGAACAAGATGCCATTTTTTTGTAAAAAAAAGCGGAACTTCTGCTTTTGGCGGGACAGTAGGCATATCTGGTAGTCTCTTCCATTTGATAGATAGTAATTACTAATATACGCTATTGAATTTCACCACTGTTTACCTCTTGTTAACAATCAGTTGTTAAATAAACAGAAGACTTCACTAGCAGCAAAAAAGTGAGATTAAACTGAACCTAATTCTTAAATTAGTGTTAAAAAAAAATAGAAAGGTATACAAATTATGAAAAGAAGGTGTTTAACAAATCGATATTCTCTTCTATACTGGAAATTTAATTGTTAATTACTTTTGTAAATTTAAAATGACATAAGGGTAACATGTCTTTAAATTATCATAAACAAGAAAGGGAAAAAATTCAACATAAATATAAATTTAAAATAAGTTGAAATATTAATATTTAATTCAAGGCTTATTTAGATGAACTTTACTACAAGGCACACATATTTATATGATTGTATTTATGATGACTAATTACATATGTAGCTGTACTTTATTTTTAGTTCTTTACTTGTGTGAATTTCGTGTTGAAGTCTTTGTGTTGGAAGCTGCAAACATTTCTGTCAAATTTTTGGTTGAAGTGTTTTGCATTGTAGTGCTTGCGTGTTTCATGCTGACAGATATAAGTCCATGTGGATCACTGTTAGAATCTTGGTTGCTTGGGCTGTCTTTGGCTAAGTCATTCTTATTCAAATCCCATTGTTGTAGGGAGCTTGTTGAGCTCTGACTTTCTTCTAGCGGAACATCTTTCTTATTTTGATTATCTTGCTCTGTTTGCTTAGAGCTCAGTTTCTTAGCTGTACGACTGTTGGTTGGGATCCAAGAAAACAAAGAGGATTTGATGTCCTGTAGTTTGGGGATGTTGTGTTTCACTGTTTTTAAATTGTTTTTCTTCTCTTTAGTTTTGGCGTGTTTTTTCTTCCCGGTTTTGCCATCAACTTTGTCATTTAGTGACTCTGAGCTTTTGTTCATGTCAGTGTTTGATGTAGCTATGGTCCAGGAGAGAGAACTCTGTTTAGGTTTAGCCTCCTCAGGTGAAGATATATCCGAGTGCTCATCCTTCTCTGTAATCTCATCATATTTCTCTACAATAGGTTTATGCTTATTTCCCTTGGAAGACTTGACAGCACCAGACATCTCTTCAGTCCTTTCATTTATAGTTTTAACTTTTTTGTTTTCATCCTTTTTCTTTACTAGTTCTGTATCTTTAGGAAAATCATTCTTCTGAACTTCATCTTTGGCTATTTTATTATCTTTTTTCTTCTCTACAACTGTATCCCTGGGGACATCATCCCACTGAACTTCATCTTCTACATTTGTATGAAAGCTTGTTACCTGTGTAGGAATCAGTTTGTCCAGGGGGCTTAACTCTGACAATCCAGTTAAGGTTTTCCTCTCATCTGTATGTAAACTTCTAACTGGCGTTGTTGGAGAGCTCCATGCTAGTCTAGGTTTGGATGTGGGAGCAGACACAAAGTCTGGCACCTGCCTGTGCAGCTTGGCATTGTTGCTTGGAAGTTTAATCCTGCGGTCAGGGAATGTGTCATCACAGTGGATACCCTCTGGAGAGATATTCAGCTTTAACACTTGCGTGTCTTCTTTGACGTCACTCAGACTCTGAGCAGTTCCACTCTCCTGTACATTGTTGTTGGTGTGGTCTTCTGTTTCATCACTGACTTCCTCCTCTGAATCACTGGATGTGTCCACGCTTGAGTCAGTTGGCCCCAGGTTTTTCACATGGTAGGTCAGTGGCCTTGGATTACAATCACCTGAGTTGGGTGTGGTCACTACACCTGATGGGGTCAATGTACCCTTGCCATCTACGCTCTCATGTTTATGCAGCATGTCGCCTGAACTTTGACCTTCATCATCTTCGTTATCATCATGCATCTCATCACTGTTGCTAGGCAAGGTGGGGTCCATATCCCCCAGTATTGCCTGTATTTTTACCTTCTTTTGACCCATGTATTTCCTCATCTTGTTTTTAGCTTTTTTAAAAGGGGCGTTCAACTTTTGTAAATGTTTGTGCTTGGTATGAATGTCTATGCTGGTCACCTTTTTCTCCCCTTTACCCTTGGACTTTGCATGTTCATTATTTCTGTCAGGATCTGGTACAGATTCACCTGGCTTAGGATCTTTAAGATCAGGATCACAAAGCTTGATGATATTGTCAGTACTCTGTGATGCCAGCTTGTCATCATTCAAGCTGCTCTCTTGACAATCCTTTGTTTTGTTTTTAACTTTGGTGTCTGAGAGTTCAGCAGTTTTCTCATTAAGATCAAGCTCAGTTGTTTTGTTAAATCCAAGGTCAGTAGTTTTGTCAATGCTAAGGTCAGTAGTTCTGCCGAGGCCCAAGTTTCCAGGTGATTCCAGTAGACCGGTCGGTTGATTTGTTTTACATGTAAACACCTTGTAGGTTCTACGAACTCTGGCTTGGTCATTCTCTTTGGCAGTTGACTTGTGCCTGGCTTCCTTGGTGGCACTCATCTCCACTGTAGGCTGTACTGATGTCTGTGTGGTGGGGTTCATCATTTTGTTATCTGGCAAACTTGACTTGTCGTTCATGGCTTGGAGAAAACAGAAAGCATCCAGTTTTTTTGTGTTATTATCCTTTAGCCTTGAAGCATGGATGTCGCCCAATTTATTCTCATCTGTAAAGAATAAAAAAAGTTTTATAAAAATTAAGATGTGCATGATCATGCATGCTAAAGTCAGCTATAGATTAGGCCAACATTTTCTAACGTCTCAGCTTATATGTCAAGAAGTGGAGGTCAATTAGATCATGATTAGACTCTTAAATTCCATAAGTGTAACCTTTATAATCAATTACTCATGAATAGGACCTAATTGTCAATTACCCATTAATAGGATCTGATTGTCAATTATCCATGTGGAGGACCTGATAGTCAAATATCCACAGATAGGACCTTTTAATTAATTACCCATGAGTAAGACCTTATAGTCAATTATCTATGATTAGGACAAATACACCTTAGATCTAGTTACTACTATTACTTCTAATCAAGTTTATAGTCATAAAGTCAAATATTTAAAATATTTGGGCAGATATCTTACATCAGGTCTCATATATAAAGCCCACTAAATGTCCTTAATAAAACCTACAATAACTTTTAAATAGGATATTAACAAAATAAAAACTTCTTAGAGAAGCACCCATTGGAGTAAATTGATAATGTTATATTATTAAGGACAAGTATAACTCAATGGTTCTGATAAAGTAATTTGGCAATGACCGGTAATTACACAACAAATACTTAACATTGGTCAATAAAGACTTGAACGTCAAGCAGCTACCACTTCCATTGAAATATTAAGACAAGTGGGATTTATCTAGAACCTGTATAAATTGCCTTTTTCATTTTCGGAAATGAAATAGAATCTATTTAATTTAGGTTCATGTTTTACTCTTGTGTGAGAATAAAAAGTTGTTTATAAACTGCAAATCAACACTGTTTTGCACGGAATCAAGATAGCAGACATTTCTCAGTTTCAAAGGTAGGCAACAGTTTTAAGTTTTTTTAATTTATTTGGTTATTTCCCTTTGCCCACTTTTGCTACAAATTGAAAGGCTTATGCCTGTGGTAGTGTTACTTGCCGCCTGTAGGCGAACAATAGACCTTCACAATACATTGTCCTAGATTCATGTTTCGTTTATTAATATTTTTTATAAAGGCGTCTTCAAATTAATATAAAATTGCAAATTCACATGTTTTGTTGTTTTACAGAGCTCACTTAAAATAGCGCGATAGACATTGAATGTTAAAATAAAGTTCAATAAAAATCTATTTTTAATAATTTAATACCTTATAGTTTAGACCATATGTCTGACTGATGCCATCTAAATTTAGAGAGAAACACAAAGGGAATAAAATGGTGTGTTTTCACGAAGAAGCTTTTGGTGCGTGAGGTTAAAAAATTTAAGGGAATTCCCAGTCTAAAAAAGTGGCTAACCCATGAGTTAGTCCTATAGGGCTGGTAAGTAGGCCAATAAACAGTTCTACGGCTCAATAAAACCTGCATGAGCCATAAAACTGTTAATTGACCTACTTACCAGCCTTATAGGAGCCACTTGTTATAATTTATTTGTTTATTTCTTATTCCACTAGAATTTTAAAAATTCTTACCAGATTTATATGCCTTTATTTTTGTGACAATAAAACGATGTGGACATTTTATTCTTCGCAAATTAATTTTTTAACTGCCATAGAGATAGAATGGTTCAATGGTTCATAAATTAGCTGGCGTTAATTAGATTGCCGATTAAAAAAAACTTTGTCCTTATTCTATAAAGAATGTAATCGTAAGGCGATTTTTTTCTTATTTTTTTTTCCTAGCCTCGCGTTCGTGTGTAGCCTAATTTTGTAGCGTTTTCCTTTTTGTAAATTATTTGTGTATAAGTAATTGCAGATATTAGTATTAGACAGCTCGCGAGCTTAAATCTTTTTATAAAAAAAAACTCAGGCTCCGTCATCCCCATAACTTTTCACAGAACCGGCTTACTTGGGTCCAAGGGGCCCGATTAGGTAGACTAGACCAGAGGCGTAGCGACCCTTCCCGGCGCCCGGGGACAAACTTTTCGATTTGCACCCCCCTCAAACTTTCGATCTGCACCCCCCCCCCCCCTCAAACTTTCGATTTTCACCCCCCTCAACCTTTCAATTTATTTTTCCAACTCATTTTGGCGCCCCCTAAGGTCGGCACCCGGGGACATATGCCCCCCCCCCTACGCTACTGGACTAGACTCAAGGTCCCTTGTCCATTTACAGTCAGCCTCAGTGACCAACAAGTAAGACTAAAACCAGGGCCCCATGCCAGTTCACAGAGTGGGTCCTAATGGGACATATTTTAGACTAGAATCAGGGCCCCGTTGTCTGTTCATAAAGTCGGGTTGCATGGACCCCAGTGGCTTATGTTAGGGCCCCATGTCAGTTTACTTAGTCCCCTTTTATTACAAGCATTTATTTCACTTGCTTCCTCTGTCTTCATATATCGAAACGGGCAAGCGAAGTTTCGAGCACTTCTAACTGACCGATTCGCTTCAAACTTGGCACTTGGGTCAAAGACCCAATGACAATGCAATCTGACATCAAATTTGACTTAATTGATGACTAATTAATTTTTTATGAATTAATTAATTTTTTCTCCATTTTCCAAAAGAACAACATAAAAAGTGGGACTTACCTTTGTAACGTAGACGCGATGGCAAAAAAATTAAAAATAACTGCAGCTTTTTCGAATTGCATTTTCAGTGAAACTAAAGACTAGATCTATTTATGACTTGAGCAGTTCTCTTTCTCTTAAACCAGGCATTTCATGGCTTCGGTATGATTCCACAGTCTACGAGGCTACTGCAAGATCTTTTGTTCAGAGTTTCTTCCAGGCACCTCTTCGGGAGGGGGGGGGGACGGGGATTTACATAGAAAATATAAACTTTTAACAGTGTCCACCCCCCCCCCCCCCCCGCGGAAATCTTAGTCCCCCTTCGCCCCTCCACCGGAGAAATAAGTCTGGAAGAAACACTACTTTTGTTCGTTCCATCTTTACTTAATTGACTTCATTAACTATAAAAAAAAATTTTGTCTGTAGGCCTAATTTATATTCTCTTGAAATTTTTTTGTCCCGATGTAATTTTGTTGTTGAGATAACATGTTGGCTTGAGATAATACTATGTCCATGGAGACACATCTTCTTATTCATATGAACATCTCACCGATTTCTAAAAAAAAAAATAACTTGATCTGGCTAGTGTATTGGCTAAGGTGAGTATCAGAGATCCTACCTCCTGCCAAAATCAAGGTTATTGTTTGCGGGTATTGCTATCCTAACCCATGTCCAAACTCTAACCTTACCCTTTATATCGAAACTTTACTAAAAAGCGCCATGTCGAGATTCCAAACAAAAATAAAATAATTTCGATCTCCATTTCCCGTATTACAAATTCTTTACTCTTATAAAATTTTAATTTCTCCTGTCATTTGATCTGGTATTTCTGGGTCATTAGCCTTCCTTCTGATCCAGCAAGTATTGATTGTTTCATAATTTACCACGTACAATAGAGTCGACTTCACCACTCTCCTAGACTAGACTAGATAAGCAAACAACAGCTCGTGTTACTTTTGTTTTTACATGATAATATAGAGATTTTTGTCTACTTCTGGAGACAAAGTTTGTGTCAGATCGATGATTAAGGTCAAGGTCCATTCTAGGAACAGGGGCTAGCGTTATAAGGTACTATGTTTAAAAATAAACCGGTAGTGATCTCCCCTAAACTTTCTCGAATATTCTTATATAAAACAACAGGGGATGGTAACTGGGGATATAGTTATGATTTTTAATCCATTTTAAATACTTAAACTTTTAAAAATAGAATAGAATCTCAGTAAAAAACAATTGCGCACCAAGCGAACGCCTAATAAAGGTGTGTATAATAGTGCGCAATAGTATTAGTACTTAATAAATTTACATTAGTTTTTTGAGAAATCGGAAGTAGCGTAAATTACTACTTCCGGTCAACGGAAATTATTCAAAATTTAACAGAAGGTAGAGAATTAGATCTTTTACTTACATGTGAAATTTCATTTATCTATCTGAAATAGTACTCAAGTTATAGGCTTTTGAAAAATTCAAAGTAGGAAAAGTACCACTTCCGGTTATCCGAAATCGCTCAAAAGTTGATACGGATCTACGATTTTGATAAAATACTTAAATATGAAATTTCATCATTCTAGCTCTAACGGTACTCAAGTTATCGTGTTTACACACGGACAGACACACAGACACAGACAAGATTGCAAAATTATGTTTTTCCTTATCAGTGAGGTGTAAAACGTCGAGATTTGTAAAAATCTCGATTTTTTTTTTGCACGATTACAATACTTTCTCTATACTACGTATATACGAGAAAGTAAAAATACAAGTGCATTATATTTAAAGCACTTCTAAATAGGCAAGATTGACATCCCTTATCAAGTACTGACTAGTAAGGTTTAGGTTTAATTAATAGGTCATTAAGGTCTAGGATAGATAGGCTAAAGTTTGTTGTATGTTATATCTAGGTTATTTAGGAAAACAGGTTATTCTATGTAAGGTTATACACAGGCAAAACTTTGTTCTATGTACGGTCTAAGTTATAGAGGCAAATTTTTTTTTCTCTTCAAGGTCTAGGTTACATAGGAAAAAGTTTGTTCTATGTTAGGTCTAGGTTATATAGGCAGATGTTTCTATATATAAGGTCTAGGTTATATAGGCAGATGTTTCTATATATAAGGTCTAGGTTATATAGGCAAATGTTTCTATATATAAGGTCTAGGTTATATAGGCAAAAGTTTTTTCTATTTAAGGTCTAGGTTATATAGGCAAAAGTTTGTCCTTCGTAAGGTCAGACCTTGTATATAGAAACATTTGCCTATATAACCCAGACCTCACATAGAACACTTTTTCCTCTATAACCCAGACCCTATATATAGAAACATTTGCCTATATAACCTAGACCTAACAGAACAAACTTTTTTCTATATAACCCAGACCTTACATATAACCCAATGTTATATAGGCAAATGTTTCTCCATATAAAGGTCTAGGTTATATAGCCAAACGTCAGACCTTACACAAACATGTATTACAACCAAGATGAGACCTGACCCAATCGATCGCGCGTTCTGTTAGCGTTGGTTTTTACGTCACGAATATGGAGTCGCCCGCTAAATTATTAAAGGGAAGCAACAAAGGGTACGGTCATACAGATCAGCTCATTCATTATGCAACAGTTACGGAACGACACCTGCGAAGAAAGCGGGGCGGAATAGAATCGACATATGTGTTAATTAGCGGGGTCTGGCGCTACAAAGCCCTGCACGCGAACAGCCAGTGTCTACGCAACGCCCTGCCGTATTTTTGACAGTTTGCTGGATGGGAGAATTTTATTTATTCAACATCAGAGGGAAACTGAGAGTCATTGCATGTCTTTGAGTCGTGGTGTTGATGGCTGGTTGTTTTTTTTTACATTTTATAGCAGGCCGGATAAGGTTGCTTGTAGACGGTTGGCGACGATGGTTGTCAGAGGGTGGTTGGTGTTGTATGTTTATTTGACAAAAGCTTTAACTTGATAAATGTAAAAAAAAGTGAACTCTATAACTTCATAAATCTTTTCTTCACGCTGCTTTAGTAATGTGGGGAGGGTATGTCATAGAGGTAAATGGGAACAGAGGCGTAGCGAGAGGGGGGGGGGGGGGGGGCTGAACTTATGTCCCCAATCGCCGACCTTAGGGGGCGCCAAATTAAAAGTTTGAGGGGGGGGGGGTGCAAATCGAAAATTTGTTCCCGGGAAGGGTCGCTATGCCTCTGAATGGGAAAAGGGGCTGGGTAAACATTTTGAAACGTTAAAACGGTTTTGTGGGTTTCCTAAAGGTTTTAAAAAATTATTTCAATGGTTTGTTAGACTATTGCTTCTTGTTTTACATTACAGCAGGTAGTAGGCTACATGCAACACTTTCTAAACACTTAAGTGGGGCATCTCTTCGGGGTGCGAAGCCCCCCCCCCCCCCGAACGAAATTTATATAGAAAATATACACTTTAAACAGTCTACCGACCCCCCGAAAATTTCAAGTGCCCCCCCCCCCCCCCCCCCGAGAAAAAAGCCTGGAAGAAACACTGAACATATTTAGTTGGAATCTTCTGCCACTTCTGGTGTAGTTAGTTCAGGTGGTAGAATTTTTTTTTTCCTACACTCGTCTACTACCTAATCTCCAGCATGCTGTTAATGTTTGAGTTGTCTAGTAGCTGTAATAACAATAGGTAATCTTGGTGTTCAACCGAAGCCAAATATTTCTATAAATTTACCACGAAGACTTGTATGTCTAAATCTTCTCGATGGTGTTGTGAAATTTCGACCCATCTTTCGTTGACCCAACCAAAGTACACATTGTTTACTTACATAACATAACAATGTAAAATGTTAATCCCAGCATCTTAATCAGAGTTCATTTGGTGCTGTTTAATATTTAATACCTGACCTACGAGCATGCCAAGTAAAGTATTCATACGATTTGTCTTATCAACGTTTCTCAATTTAGCCTGCATGTCAAAGTTGTAGTTTGGTCAATGTAGCCTACGTGTCAAAGTTGTACATTAATTAGGTCAATGTTGCCTGATAAGGCTTTTCAGACAGTTTTTAGAAGTAGTGGGGTGGTCAAGTGCCAGAGGTCAGCAACGCTAACATGTAACACAAAAGTCTTTAAGGTTGAGTTCCAGCATTATGTGTGTACAAAGTCACTGAGTTCACCCAGCTTTGATGAGTACCTGAATAAAGTTAGGGATAGTAATAACTAATGAACAGAATGATGACTGCACAATATTTTCTTCACCCAACACAAGTGAAGGCTGCTATTTCACCTGCCTCTCAGTGGTTTCCAAGCTGGAGTGAGTGGCTGAATGGAAAGTTTCTGAGCTGAGATTATCATACCTTAGACTTGAGTGATCCGTCAGTGTAAAATAAACGACTGAAAATGTGTACACAAATTCAAACGTCTCTGCAAACTAACACCATACATAAAAATACACTAGCAACAACAGTTATAAAATAACTAAGCTTTAATATAAAAAAATAGTAGAACAAACACCAATCAACACAATTAAAATTTAAAAAGAAAAACTCTACTGTGTAACTTTCATAGAGTAGATACTTTACAATCTAATAAAAGTGACATTTTGTTTGATGTGACAGTGAACTGGGCTGATCAGACAAGGAACATGTTACACGATTAGAAAGAACATGATGCACGATTAGAAAGAACACGTTGCATGATCAGAAAGAACATGTATGACAAGAAAGAATATGTTGCACGATTAGAAAGAACACGTTGCATGATCAGAAAGAACATGTATGACAAGAAAGAACATGCTGTATGATAAAAAAGAACATGTTGCATGATAAGAAAGAACGTGTTGCACGATTAGAAAGAACATGTTGCACGATAAGAAACAACATGTTGTATGATTAGAAAGAATATGTTGCACGATTTGAAAGAACATGTTGTATGATAAGAAAGAACATGTTGCACGATTAGAAAGAACATGTTGCATGATCTGACAGGGGACCTGTAGCGTGCTAATACATTAGAAACATTTTGTGCAGATAGGTCAAAGGGTACATTTAGCATAAACCAAGGTTAGTCTGTTGACAAAATGTCCAAACAATACAGCTGATAATCTACAATGTCCCAACAAGACTGCTGATAATCTGCAATGCTCCAACAAGACAGCCGATAATCTGCAATCCAGAACATCAAAACGTGTTGCTGAAAACTTGATACTGACACAAATATGACGGCCCCACAAGAGCTCCAGTTAGCGAAGTCTAAAGTATTGTTCACTCTCAAATTTTTTATGTTGCGCATAGAATGAGAAGCGAGCGAAAAAGCTGCACTTCTTTTGTTCCAGCTCAGTCTTCTAGAGAAGTTGACATTTACTGGGGCGTCCCTCTAAAGCAGCAATTTCTGCAGATATTTTCTCATAAGCAGCATCAAAATGTTTGCTGCTACATCCCAAATAATCAAAGTTACTCTCAGTCAACAAGGACTTAGCTTTCAACAGCTGCAACCTCCGGCTAAGTTCTTGGTGTGAAGTGTGATACAATGGCACTGGATTTTTTGTGATCAGAGCCAAGGGTAAACTATAGGACAACAACAAGTTTACCTTTTGCTCTAGTAGTGCTATAGACATGTTTTCTAATGATGGATGCTTTGCTAGAATTGATTTAACTTCATCTTGACTGCACTGAAATATTTGAGCAATACGTTCAGACTTATCGGCACATCCTTCTAGTGCACCAGGCTCATTACACATTTTCTTATAGGCTACATCAAATGCCTTGCTGTTACGTCCCAAATAGTGGAACACTTTTGCATGACTTAAGACCTGATTGTCAGTCAATAAGGACCTATCCTGTAACAGCTCCAACCTCCTGCTAAGTTCCTTGTGTGAAAATAGCAATGGCGTTGGGTTTTCTATGATTAGAGCCAAAGGTAAACTATAGGACAACAACAAGTTTACTTTTTGTTCAAGTAGTGGTACAGACATGTTTTCTAATGATGGATGTTTTGCTAGAATTGATTTAACGTCATCTTGACTGCACTGAAATATTTGAGCAATACGTTCAGATTTATTGGCACATCCTTCTAGTGCATCAAGCTCATCACACATATTCTTGTAGGCGACATCAAATGTGCTGCCACTCTGTACCAAAAAATTAAAAACTTTGTCCTGACTTCTGACAGGATTGTCAGTCAACAAGGAACTAGCCTGTAACAGCTCCAACCTCCTGCTGAGTTCCTCGTGTGAAGTGTGACACAGTGACTTTACATTTTTTGTGATCAGAGACAATGGTAAATTGTAGGACAAAAACAAGTTTACTTTTTGCTCTAGCAGTGGTATAGACATGGTTTCTAATTTTGGATGTTGAGTAATAAGTGAATCAACATCCTTTTGATTGCAACGAAATATTTGCGCAATACGTTCAGATTTATTTGCACATCCTTCTAGTGCATCAAGATCATCACACATGTTCTTGTATCCAATATCAAATTGCTTGACACTCTGTACCAAATAATTAAAAACTTTGTCTTGACTTCTGACAGGATTGTCAGTCAACAAGGACCTAGCCTGTAACAGCTCCAACCTCCTGCTAAGTTCCTCGTGTGAAATGCAGTACAGTGGCTTTACATTTTTTGTGATCAGAGACAAAGGTAAATTGAAGGACAGCAATAAGTTTACTTTTTGCTCTAGCAGCGGTATAGACATGGTTTCCAAACGTGGATGTTGAGCAATAAGTGAATCAACATCCTTTTGATTGCAACGAAATATTTGAGCAATACGTTCAGATTTATTGGCACATCCTTCGAGTGCATCAAGGTCATCACACATATTCTTGTAGGCGACATCAAATGTGCTGCCACTCTGTACCAAAAAATTAAAAACTTTGTCCTGACTTCTGACAGGATTGTCAGTCAACAAGGACCTAGCCTGTAACAGCTCCAACCTCCTGCTGAGTTCCTCGTGTGAAGTTTGATACAGTGACTTTACATTTTTTGTGATCAGAGACAATGGTAAATTGTAAGACAACAACAAGTTTACTTTTTGCTCTAGCAGGGGTATAGACATGGTTTCCAAACGTGGATGTTGAGCAATAAGTGAATCAACATCCTTTTGATTGCAACGAAATATTTGAGCAATACGTTCAGATTTATTGGCACATCCTTCGAGTGCATCAAGCTCATCACACATATTCTTGTAGGCGACATCAAATGTGCTTCCACTCTGTACCAAATAATTAAAAACTTTGTCCTGACTTCTGACAGGATTGTCAGTCAACAAGGACCTAGCCTGTAACAGCTCCAACCTCCTGCTGAGTTCCTCGTGTGAAGTGTGACACAATGGCGCTGGATTTTTTGTGATCAGAGACAAAGGTAAATTGTAGGACAACAGCAAGTTTACTTTTTGCTCTAGCAGTGGTATAGACATGGTTTTTAAACGTGGATGTTTTGTTACTATTAATTCGACAGCTTCTTGACTGCAGTTGAATATTTCTCTAAGTAAAAGTTGATGTTCCTTTGACACTGGGACTGTTTGTTGCACATTGAAACTGTTTTCCTCCTGTTGAGCTCTTGTTTGTGAGCAAAGAGCTTTACTTTGTTGAAATCTGCTATAAACATGTCCTTTAACGGATGGTATGGACGTGCCACACCTAGTCAACAGAAGCACAGGACCGGTTTTTACAACTCCTTTAAAAAGTAATGCAGCCATTATGCTTGAATATGGTTGACAGTCTAGTACTTTTTTTCTAGTGATCTCCTATGATAAAAGGATCTGCAAATGAAGTTTTAAAAGTTTCAAATTATGAACGTTTTTAGTTTCAATTCAAACAAAAATGTAAGGCTGCATCATATATAGTTTAAACAGTGATCTGTAGAATTACTGGTTATATTTAACGTTTTTCTTCTCCCTCCCTCCCTTTCTCTCCATTTATATATATATATATATATATATATATATATATATATATATATATATATATATATATATATATATATATATATATATATGTATATATATATGTGTGTGTGTATGCAAATGAGATTTTTAAATAAATTATTTTCCGGATATATGCTATTATTTCAGTGAAGCGAGTTGGACGACCACCCCCCCCAACTTGCAGATGCCTATTTGTGACGTCTATTCTCCTTTGTAACCCTATACAAGTAAGTTATCGTTTTCTAACAATCATGCCAATACTCTATTTACCTACCGAAATCATTTATGGACCCCATGTAATAGAAGGTTTAGTTGCTTCGTTAAAATTTGTTAGGCAAGAATTAATGGATGGGATTTAGTTTAAAATGTTAACGCCTCATTAAAGTATTAAAAAACTGTGACCTCAAACCTCCGCATGTTAAAAAAAGTTCTAAAAAAAAAAAAAAAAAAAAGAAAAAAAAAAGAAAAAAAAAACCCAACTAACGTCTGAATCCGATGAATTATAAAAAAATAAGAGTGACATTTTCTTTGTGCCAGTGAACGGGGTTAATCAGACAAGGAACATGTTGCACGATCAGCAGAAAGAACATGTTGCACGATTAGAAAGAACATGTTACACGATCAGAAAGAACATGTTACACGATTAGAAAGAACATGTTACACGATTAGAACGAACATGTTACACGATTAGAAAGAATATGTTGCACAAGAAAGAACATGTTGCACGATCAGAAAAAACATGTTACACGATCAGAAAAAACATGTTGCACGATTTGAAAGAACGTGTTGCATGATAAGAAAAAACATGTTGCATGATCTGACAGGGGACCTGTAGCGTGCTAATACATAAGAAACATTTTGTGCAGATAGGTCAAATGGTACATTTAGCATAAACCAACGTTAGTCTGTTGACAAAATGTCCAAACAAGACAGCTGATAATCTACATTGTCCCAATAAGACAGCTGATAATCTGCTATGTCCCAATAAGACAGCTGATAATCTGAATTGTCCCAATAAAACAGCTGATAATCTGAATTGTCCCAATAAAACAGCTGATAATCTGAATTGTCCCAATAAAACAGCTGATAATCTGAATTGTCCCAATAAAACAGCTGATAATCTGAATTGTCCCAATAAAACAGCTGATAATCTGAAATCCAGAACATCAAAACGTGTTGCTGAAAACTTGATACTGACACAAATGTGACGGGCTCCACATGGGCCCCAGTTAGCGAAGTCTAAAGTATTGTTCACTCTCAAAATTTTAAGTTGCAGAGATTGAGAAGCGAGCGAAAAAGCTGCACTTCTTTTGTCCCAGCTCAGTCTTCTAGAGAAGTTGACATTTACTGGGGCGTCCCTCTGAAGCAGCAATTTCTGCAGATATTTTCTCATAAGCAGCATCAAAATGTTTGCTGCTACATCCCAAATAATCAAAGTTACTCTCAGTCAACAAGGACTTAGCTTTCAACAGCTGCAACCTCCGGCTAAGTTCTTGGTGTGAAGTGTGATACAATGGCACTGGATTTTTTGTGATCAGAGCCAAGGGTAAACTATAGGACAACAACAAGTTTACCTTTTGCTCTAGTAGTGCTATAGACATGTTTTCTAATGATGGATGCTTTGCTAGAATTGATTTAACTTCATCTTGACTGCACTGAAATATTTGAGCAATACGTTCAGACTTATCGGCACATCCTTCTAGTGCACCAGGCTCATTACACATTTTCTTATAGGCTACATCAAATGCCTTGCTGTTACGTCCCAAATAGTGGAACACTTTTGCATGACTTAAGACCTGATTGTCAGTCAATAAGGACCTATCCTGTAACAGCTCCAACCTCCGGGTAAGTTCCTTGTGTGAAAACAGCAATGGCGTTGGGTTTTCTATGATTAGAGCCAAAGGTAAACTATAGGACAACAACAAGTTTACTTTTTGCTCAAGTAGTGATAAAGACATGTTTTCTAATGATGGATGTTTTGCTAGAATTGATTTAACGTCATCTTGACTGCACTGAAATATTTGAGCAATACGTTCAGATTTACTGGCACATCCTTCTAGTGCATCAAGCTCATCACACATATTCTTGTAGGCGACATCAAATCTGCTGCTACCCTGTTCCAAAAAATTAAAAACTTTGTCCTGACTTCTGACAGGATTGTCAGTCAACAAGGACCTAGCCTGTAACAGCTCCAACCTCCTGCTGAGTTCCTCGTGTGAAGTGTGACACAGTGACTTTACATTTTTTGTGATCAGAGACAATGGTAAATTGTAGGACAAAAACAAGTTTACTTTTTGCTCTAGCAGTGGTATAGACATGGTTTCTAATTTTGGATGTTGAGTAATAAGTGAATCAACATCCTTTTGATTGCAACGAAATATTTGCGCAATACGTTCAGATTTATTTGCACATCCTTCTAGTGCATCAAGATCATCACACATGTTCTTGTATCCAATATCAAATTGCTTGACACTCCACCCCAAATAATTAAAAACTTTGTCCTGACTTCTGACAGGATTGTCAGTCAACAAGGACCTAGCCTGTAACAGCTCCAACCTCCTGGTAAGTTCCTCGTGTGAAAAGTAGTGGCCTTACATTTTTTGTGATCAGAGACAAAGGTAAATTGAAAGATAACAGCAAGTTTACTTTTTGCTCTAGCAGTGGTATAGACATGTTTTTTAAACGTGGATGTTTTGTTACTATTAATTCGACAGCTTCTTGACTGCAGTTGAATATTTCTCTAAGTAAAAGTTGATGTTCCTTTGACACTGGGACTGTTTGTTGCACATTGAAACTGTTTTCCTCCTGTTGAGCTCTTGTTTGTGAGCAAAGAGCTTTACTTTGTTGAAATCTGCTATAAACCTGTCCTTTAACAGATGGTATGGACGTGCCACACCTAGTCAACAGAAGCACTGGACCGGTTTTTACAACCCCTTTAAAAAGTAATGCAGCCATTACGCTTGAATATGGTTGATAGTCTAGTAAGATATACGGATCTGCAAATGAAGTTTTTTAAGTTTAGAATTATGAACGTTTTTAGTTGCAAATCAAACAAAAAAGTCCGACTGCATCATATACAGTCTAAACAGTGGTATGTAGTGTTAATGGTTATATTTAACACAACAGTTTTCTTCTCCCTCTCTATTTATATATACATATGTATGTGTGTGTGTACAAATGAGATTTTAAATAAATAATTTTCCATGTATATGTTATTATTCCATTGAAGCGAGTTGGACGACCCCCCCCCCCCTCCCCCAACTTGCAGATGCCTATGTGTGACGTCTATTCTACTTTGTAACCCTATACAAGAAAGTTATCGTTATCTAAAAATCATGCCACTTCTTTATTTCTCAACCGAAATCATTTATGGACTTCATGTAATAGAAGGTTAAGTTGCTACATTAAAAGTTATACAGCAAGAATGTATTGATGTAATTTAGTTTAAAAAATGTTTAACACCTCATTAAAATATTAACAAAATGTGACTTCAAACTACCGCATGTAAAAAATGGTTCTAAAAAAAAGGTCAGAACAAAACAAAAAACTACAGAATCTGATAAATTAAAAAAATAAAAAGAGGCAACGGGAGATTTGAGGGGAGGGCGAGTCTGACTAGAGGTGAGACGTCACTAGATCTATGTGACGCGGGGGGGGGGGGGTGAGACGTCACTAGATGTATGTGACTCAGGAGGTGAGACGTCACTAGATCTATGTGAAGCGGGAGGTGAGACGTCACTAGATCTATGTGACTCAGGAGGTGAGACGTCACTAGATCTATGTGACTCAGGAGGTGAGACGTCACTGGGGTAGGAAGAGTCTGACTAGATCTAGTGACGCCGGGCGTGACTAGGGGAGGGAGAGTTTGAATCTAGATTTTTTTTTGTGACGCAGGCGGTAGGACTAAGTGGGCGTCACTGGGAAGGGAGGGAGAGTCTGACTCTAGATCTAGATCTATGAGACGCTGGGTAGGTTGGGGTTGGGAATAAAATTTGCAACAAAACAAAGCTAGGGTCATACACCATACTCACGACTTTATTCTCGCTTCCTGACCTAATCATAAACATGACTGTCGCTGTTTTATTGTCAGAAAAGATCTTGGTATGCTAATGCAGGTCTAGATCAAGATCAAGATTCTAGATCTCTAGATCTTGTTTATGTGCTTGTGGTAGATGTAGTAAAAAATATCTTTTTCACAACGGAACTGACGCAACATGGCGTGATTGTTGCATCAGCGATGACCCAGAACTTAGGTATTAAAAAATAAAATAAAACTAATAAGGTTTAGATCTAGATTCTAGATCTAGATTCTAGATCTAGTTTAAATCTTGTAACATGGAATAACGACAGTTAAAAGTACTGAACTTACCCAGTTAGTGAAGCAGCATCCAGCTATCTCGGCCAATTACTGAAATCTGTGTGTTTATGTTGTACGGCGCAGCTTGTAAAAATGAACAAATATTGTAGACCAGCTAAGGTTGATCGGGACTTTCTAACCGGAAGTTTCTAGTCTTGATCTGCACATGTGTCTGATGCAAGCTCCAGCACAGTTACGTCTTAGTCTCGGGCTATTAATAACATTATTAGAATGGAAATGGGGGTGGGGGGGGGGGGGGGGTATCGTCACGTAGGATTTCTACACACATCTTTAATTTGTTAACCGCAGTCAACACTCGGGCATATATTCCAGTAGCATTTATTGATACCCCCATGGGACTTGAGATGTTTACAGCGGGGGTAGAAAGCTATACTCTGATGATCAATAATCGCCAACTATAGTCATTTGCCCATGAAATTTAAACTGAACCGTTTCGTTTGACTGACATTGATCATAATTGCCTATAATATGATTTCTAGGAAAGACTAGAGTTGGAAACAGAGTTTCTTCCAGGCATCTCTTCGGGGGGGGGGGGGGGGCGAAGCCCCCCCCCCCGAAAATTTTTTACCGCCCCCCCCCCCCCCGAACGAACTGAAATTTATATAATTTATATAGAAAATATATACTTTTAACAGTGTCCGCCCCCCCCCCCCCGAAGAAAGTTTACCGCCCCCCCGAAGATTTCAAGTGCCCCCCCCCCCCCGGAGAAAAAAGTCTGGAAGAAACACTGGTTGGAAACATTAGCAGACCTAACATTCAACTCAACAGAATCCTAAACCATAACTGAAAATCACAAGAATCCGTCCTGGATGGATTAAAGCCTATTGATATTTCATTTAACTGTAAGGTCCAGCCTGATAATTGAGGACATTTTATCAGTAGTGTCTCAGGTGCGTGAGGGAGGGTCGTATCGTGTGTCTCGGGGGTGTCGACAAGGCGACATAGACCATACATATAAACTTTTCTCTGGGGGTGCCGACAAGGCGACATAGACCATACATATAAACTTTACTTCTGGGGTGCCGACAAGGCGACATAGACCATACATATAAACTTTTCTTCTGGGGGTGTCGACAAGGCGACATAGACCATACATATAAACTTTTCTTCTGGGGGTGGCAACAAGGCGACATAGACAATACATATAAACTTTTCTTCTGGGGGCGTGGCACTCTGTGACGTAGCGAGTCACCTGACCTGTTGACGTCATCGCGGCTGGACAGTATAAGTGTGGTGCTTTTTGACGAGATCACGGATAATTACATTTGATTCATTACACTTTACAAGGATCTTACTAGTTTTGTAAATTTGATTCATAACACTTTACATTTATCTCAATAGTTTTGTATATGTGATTCATTAGACTTTACAAAGATCTCAGTTATTTTGTAAATTTAATTAGTCTGATTTGAAAGTTTTTAGTTGAATCCCATCTCCCCCCCCCCCCCCCAGGAGAAAAATGTCTGAAAGAAACCTTTACGCTTAGCAGAGGCGTAGCGACCCTTCCCGGCGCCCGGGGACAAACTTTCGATTTGCACCCCCCCCCTCGAACTTTCGATTTGCACCCCCTCGAACTTTTCATTTGCACCCCCCCCCCCTCAAACTCTCAATTTGACGCCCCCCGTAAGGTCGGCGCCCGGGGACATATGTGTCGTCCCCCCGCCCCCCCCCCTCGCTACGCCTCTGACGTTTAGCAGAATACTAACACCATCGGACAAACACAGCACCGACAATACGAAACGAACAACAAACATCATGGACAATGTATGATAAACATTTCACATAAGTACATGATAGTACAATATAAACAATATGGGACAAACATCGCTGAAATACAGGATAGCACAATAAAAACAACATAGGACAAACGCATCACAGGTAAACGGGGAAAACGCCGAAAATGTTAGACAAACACAACACCAACACAACACCGAAAATGTTAGACATACACAACACCGACAATGTAGGACAAACAACTACAACAGTGTAGGACAAACAACAGCGACAATTTAGGACAAACACAACACCCACAAAGTAGGACAAACACAACAGCGACAATGTAGGACAAACACAACACCGACAATGTAGGACAAACACGGTACAGTTAAAACAGGACAAACACAACAGCGACAATGTAGGACAAACACAACACCGACAATGTAGGACAAACACGGTACAGTTAAAACAGGACACACACAACAGCGACAATGTAGGACAAACACAACACCGACAATGTAGGACAAACACGGTACAGTTAAAACAGGACACACACAACAGCGACAATGTAGGACAAACACAACACTGCCAATGCAGGACAAACACAACACTGCCAATATAGGACAAACCCAGTACAGTGAAAACAGGACAAACACCACAGAGAACGCTCGTAGCCCCCGTTTTTTTTCGGGCCAGCTCGGCCATACAGGGTGAAGCAGCGAGCGAGTGTATTCGGTTATTCGCCAGAACTCATTTTGAATTCTACTCACTTTGTCTGCGGTATTGATTTCTCCATCCCCTGTTCACAGTAGATGAAAAATGCGTAGAAAAGGAGATGAAAGGGTGGCGGGTGGCGTTAGGGGAGGGTGTGGAGGGGGGTGGGGGTGGTGACAGCAGGGTGGGGGAGGGAGGATGTAGGGTGGGGCAGTATCGAGAACGCCAGAACCAAGCAAAACAAAAACAGAGTCAAGTTTTGCAGTACATTTAGTGCGCGTGTTGTTTACATCATACTCAGTTGTGGATGTGTGTGTGTGTATGTGCGCACGTGAGTGTGTACGTACCATATTATGTGTGTGCGTGTGTGTGTGTGTGTCAAGATGTAGCATATCAAGATGTAGTATAATGTCTTTGCATTGGGAATTAATTTCCATAAAAAATACATCGACTTTATATCTGGATTAATTTAATTGACAGTAGTCATTAATAAAATAATGGTACTACAATGAACCCGATATGCATGTTTGGTCAAGCAATGTTACCCCCCACCCCACCCTCAAAAAGATAATTTCAAGACTTCGCACTACCAGATGGGGATTTATCTATAACGGCAACGTGATTGTGTGGTTGCAGTTGTCTTATGTCTAATTAATGCCAGGTACCCATTATAGCTGCGTATGAGAAAGTAAAAAAAAAACAACAACAAATAACATCACATATTTTAAAGACTTGAAATCTTAAAGTGAATATTTTAAAATGGGAGTGTGTGTGTGTGAGAGAGAGAGTGAGAGAAGCTTACACAACAGACCCTAATACAGATATGCTTACATTGTTTTGCTATTAGATCACACAGATGTACAGGGTACGTGAATGTGGCAACTACAAGATTTATTACTTTTACCTCTTAAACAAGACATTAATTTTTAAGAGTTTACACTCGTGTATTTACTAATATTTTTACAGTTTACCCTCGTATTAATTACAGTTTACACGTGTGTATTTACAGTTTACACTCGCATTTTTATACACTAGCGTTTTTACTATTAACACTAGAGTATTTACTGTTCACTATTATTTTTTATAGTTTACATTAGTGTATTTACTATTAGTATATTTTTAGTTTACGCTAGTATTTTTACACTTTACACTAGCATATTTTTACAACTGAAAGTCGCGTTATTTGTTAACGTCCTGTGGTTATTTCTCCTGTTGTAAACAAACGCAGTGTTTTCCCTTGTAAGTGCCGCAGTGAGAATTCTCTCCCTTCTTTTCCTCAATGGGCGTGCCCCTCTCCTTTAAAAAAAAGAGAGAAGGGGGCGTTCCCTAGGGACCCTGACTCACAGCGGAACCGAGCGATGCCGAAATCGATCGAATGCTTTTACCGATTCCTCAACTGAGAACGTCAGAGAGAGCGGGACTTGATTATTTCAGCACCACTTGGATGCGGCCTGCCAACCAGGGCCCGAATCCACCCAAAACTTGCCCCCCACCATTATTGTGTTCTCTTTTAGCGACCGTTTCTCCATGATGCACATTATTCGTGTATGAAAAAATAAAATGTCCTGCCCTTGATCATTACCCTATATCGTCATATTATTCTGTTTGAAGTTATAGTTATGAGCACTTTATGTTCATTGCACTTATAGATAAGTTGTCTTTCTTTAAACGTCATGGCGTATACACAGAAGTATATAAAATGTTTGTGCAATTATATAATTTTTATAGCATTTACAATTCTATAAAAATAGATGGCTTTAAAATGGGGAAGACCCGATTTAGTATGATGAAATTTTAGCCTGAAAATTCATTCATTGAGATGTAAAAGTAATTTTGTAAAACAGTTAATTAAACCCGTTTGTGATAATCTCAATCAAACAAAACAAATTACAAATTAATGACAGCTCCTCCTAATTGTTGGCTTAAATGTGATCATACAACCACCACAACTTCCCAGTGATGTTTTGATGTGACACATTTTAAAGCTCCTTATCTGCAAGAAGCAGAGACTGACTTAAGTAATGGCAATGGAAAATATCTAAATCATGGCAATGGAAAATATATAAATAATGGCAATGGAAAATATTTAATGGCAATTGAAAATATCTAAATAACGGCAACGGAAATATCTAAATAACGGCATTGGAAAATATCTAAATAATGGTAATGAAAATGTCTATTTAATGGCAGTGGAACGTATCTAAGTAATGGCGATGGAAAATATTCAAATGGCTTTCTGTTGGTTGTACATCATGGCAAGTCTTCCCTCTGTAGCTAGAGCTCAGTAGTCAGTTGTTTGGAATTTGATGGTAGCAAATTGTGTTTTATTTTTTAACATTGGGCAGCAAGTGTAGCGAGTAAACCGTCTATCGTTCAGTCTCATACACTAAAAGACCACGGTGTTAGCTCTACAAATTGTTTGTTCTCAATATCTATAGCCATCATGTGAAAAGTAGAACGCACATTATTTAAAAGATTTGGCTTTACGAGAAATGCTGGTTCTCGTTTGTCAGTATGTCTGGGTCTAGTTTGTCAGTATGTCTGGGTCTCGTTTGTCAGTATGTCTGTGTCTCGTTTGTCAGTATGTCTGGGTCTCGTTTGTCAGTATGGGTCTCGTTTGTCAGTATGTCTGGGTCACGTTTGTCCGTATGTCTGGGTCTCGTTT